CACAATGACGACTGTCAAATTAGTCTTCTTCTAAAAGAGGTCACCATGACAGCTGAGTCGTTCACGATACTTTTTTGGGCGTTCCTATGATGCCAATTCTTTGTGATAAACCTTCAGCGCGACGCTGTCTTTGAGTGTGAAGAATCTTATAGTTTGAGTTAGTCCAGGCCAAGACTAGCTCTGGTAGTTATCACCATCATAAGTAGCAGTTCAGAGCTTACATACAGTTTCAAAATTCATGTGCACTCTAGATGGCCCTAATATTAGGTACCGAAAGTAATGTCATGATTTTGGAAAATTTGCCACTGCTCCTCATGTGAACGTGTTTGCTTACAAGAAACTTCTTCAGAAAGAGAAATTCATCTACTTCCTAATAGGCTTTGTCGCCAAAGAGCCTTCGCGGCTCTTTGGCGGCAAGGGACTATCGATGAAAATTCGATTAAGAAAATCAATGTGATTCCCGCACTTGAAAATAAACTGTCAAAATTCTGAAACGCTGCAGAAAAAATTTGTTAACATGTCTATTACAATTTTCGTGAGCTGCGCTTTCCAACAGTGCCAAGTTTGTGCTGATCAAGCTTTTCGATGAAAAGTTATGATTTTTTTTTGCATCTTTCTGCATTTCTCACAAAAATATCATAACTTTATAGAAAAGCCCCATCAGAACAAATTTGGCACTGGTGGAAAACGGAGCTTACCAGATTGTAAGAGAAATGTTTTCAAACTTTCTGCCGCGTTCCAGAATTTTGAAAATTTGTTTTTGAAGATCGATCAAAGTGGTGGTTCTCCTATTAGAAATTTTATCTCTGAAGACCCCTTGTCACCAAACAGCCTCGCAAATGTTAGAGTAGATGAATTTTTCTATCTGATGATTTCGTGAATAAATACAATCACATAGGGAGCAGCTACGAATGTTCAAAATCAATGCGACATTACTTTCGGTTCAACCCAGTATATCGCAAGAAATGGCGTTATCATTTATTCTACAGATTTTCTCATAACTATCTATTTCAACAAAAAATCAAAAAAATGTACCCTGCAAACTTCTTACTCTAATTTTGCTATATAACGACGCGCAAACCTGCTTCTTAATGTGCTATCAGAATCACGCTATTTGGTTGTGTCTGCAGAGAGTGAGCAACAAATTTCCGAACTTGAAAAATATTTTTCGAAGTTATGGATCGCATCTAAACTTGCCAGCGTCGTATCTACACTCTTGCAGCTCACTGGTCTCCAGTGAGCTGCAAGAGTCTTTTACTCAATCTTCAGGGCACGCACTCTGCTTTACAAATTGTAAGCCTCCAGCTCATCGTTGCCTTTTTTCAAGTACTTTCAAGGAACTAGTCCTCCACTTTTTCAGCATCACTAGGAAATTTTGCACAATAGAGGAAATTCCAGTTTATTCACAGATATCTCCAAACCTCGAGAGTAGCAAATTTCAAATTTGCAAAAATAGTGTCGCTAAAAATGAAATCGAACCCGACACAGTTATTACGGTCTCAAAGTCCGCCGCGTTTTCAGGGTCAATCTACAAATTGCTTAAAAGAGATGTAGGCCGACAGGTTTCAAAGTGCTCGATGCAATGTTTTGCTCCTTTTAATGACACTGTTTTGGAATTGCTTTTGATAAAAGTTCAGGTAGTGCACGATGTTTTTATATCATGAATTTTGTCTCGTCCAACTTTATCGGATTTTCGATTTTGTTTCATATTTCTGAAGGACCTGTGGTAAGCAGTGGCTGACCAGATTCTTACTATAATTTTTTTGAATAATAAGCTTTGAACCAGCTAGACTTTCAGAACTCACTATAACTTTTTCAAGTCGTGAGCTTTGAAACATCAAATGTTATAAAAGCTAGGAGTTTGAAATTTTCACAACCTGTTTACAAGTATTTCTCACCTTAGAAAGTAAGCGGATTATCCGCTCTACATTTTCAAAGGTTTTCCGGTACCAACCGTATGCACTTGTAAAATTAAAAGCGATTTTTCAGGTTTCATACATCGCAGAAAAAAATTGTGAGAAGAAAATAAAGAATTGCATCTAATGTTCTAAAACTGCTTACTGGTTGGTATTCCACGATTTTTGGATGGACCAAATATTAAATTCGATCATCGTAGGAAATATGCAGAAATTCTGAAAAATAAGCTAAAGATATAAAAAAAGCATTGCGAAAGCTTTGTCCTACTGACTGGTTATTAGTGCTTAAAAACACAAAGGAAGAAATCGAAACTTCGTTGCTTTGACTTCCTTGGTTACAATTTAGGCGTAAATGAGCGAATTCTTTTGAAAACATAGCATCTGCTTGGGATAAATATTATTTACTCATTAATGAGGCTGGGTATCGCTTCTTGGATTTGGTCCTATCTGACAGAGATGAGTTTTTATGCTGATGAAATAAACTTCAGCAGTCGGATGAGTAATATCGACGACACTAGATGGATGTCGACAGATGAGCTATCAAGTTGCTCAATTTGTGCTCAAGTCGTTGTCATGAAAGACACGCCAAAAGATTTTTCACTCTTCCTAGGCCTCACAAGCATGCTAATCGGGTCAACTATCGGGCGCTTACAGGGTGCGCCGCGGTCACTTATCGGGTCCAATTTCGTTTATACCGGGCAGCTCGCGGCATGGATGATTGGTGGTCGAGCAAGCACCCGCGAACTTCCCGATGCGATTGTCTGAGTTGCGTGTTTGATCAAAAATTTTCCATGATTAAGGCATCGCCAAAGCTTCGCTTATTGCTGAAGCTTGAGATTAGCACTTCTTGCCTACATTTTTTGCAGAGAAACTCTATACAGTACACGAAAAATTTCAAATTTTCATAATTTGGGTCTTTCAAAGCTACCACAAACAAGGTCAAAAAGGTGAACAATTTTGTAATTTTGTCTTGTCTTCGCGAAGAACTCTTTCGTTGTGGTGTTTCTTCTTACAATACATATACTACTGGCTTGCGGCTACAAAATGAGCTGATTATCAGCTAAATATAGGAAGAACTTGGAAGGAGCTGTAAGGTTTCAAAAACGAGGTCTTCAGAGAAAATTTCGGTTTTTTGACGCATGGTTTCTTCCCGTTTGCACTATCATGTATGAGCAAGTCTGCGCTAAGTTACGAAAGGCTTGCTGCTCCTAATGGTCTTGACTATATTCAAAAATATGAGGACAACAAAGTTAGAACTTTTCAAGCAAAACTTTTTAAAACGGACATTATTTTTGCACCAACCTAATATTAGGTTATCCCGAAAGTTTTGTCCGTTTTTTTCATCGCTCGCTAAAACTCACAGAACACCAATCCATGGACGACTTAGGCACCGTTTGATTCAGATTTTTATCCTCTTTATTATAGCTATATTTTCTCTCTGATCTACCCTGTCTTTGCATGTTATCGCCATGGCTTTTTGAGCAGCTCAGCAGTAAGCCAAATCTTTCCTGAATTTTAAAATTTTTTATTCTGATGTTTTCAAAGAGCGCTGGCAACTGTTATGTAGAGTAAACCTTTGGCTACATTGTATATTTTTTAGATTGAACGGACCACGTTTACCAAGTCCGTTATAATTATTTATTTAACAAAAACCGCGGCTTTTCAATTATGTTTACGACGTAAAAGTACCGAAAATTGCAAAAAACTGCTTTCTCAAAGCGAACCAAACTTGGTTATGTTGCATAAATAATGTTTGATAAGAATCATGCCTCAACTAGCAGAAACTTTAAAAACTTTCGTGTATTTGCAGCAGTTGCGTGTTTCGTGACCTTGCCAAGAATCGAGATCTCCGAAGAAATAATTATGAAGCTAAAAACAGCAGATTAGGAGAATCTAAAAATATTACCTTATAGTCCGAGAACTGCTCTAATTGATCCATACTTAGCCCTTTCCGAAGCTTTGTAATAAATTTTTAAAAATTAGCCTAACTTTGAGCAGATAAAATTGACGTGTAGGAAATTTCAGCAATTATCAAAAAAGCATACAAGATTGTAATTCGAAAATGTATCCATGTGAAAGAGAAGGAAAAGCTGCATTAAATGCACGTTGAAACTCATCCAGATTTTTACTGTGCGTGGTTTTATAGTGGTTTGAAAAAACGGACAAAACTTCGGGACAACCTAATATTATTTTGACCCCATTTGAGTGCGGAGAATTTGTTAGAAGTATTAGGTTGGTCCGAAAGTTCGTTCCCACCAATTTCAAAAATTCATAACTCTTTAAATTCTCAACGAATTTGTACGATCAAAATTATTCCTAAGAGAGGGACTCATGCTCTTTGCATCTTTACCTGAAATGTTCGTTATGTTTACAAATAAAGGAGATAGAAGCTGAAAACCAAAATCAGTCAAAATTTGAATTTTTCGTGTAGGGTTATAAAAAATCGGAAACTTGCAACAAAAATCGGAGCAGTTGGTATTGTAGGTTCTTTTACCAGCTCTTTCTAACAGTGCAAAGTTTGCGCTGATTGAGCGTCTCTATGAAAAGTTACGATTTCCCTGAAAAATGCCGAGATAAATCAAAATCGCCCTTTTGTACTGCTTGCTCGAAAATCGTATTTTCATAGAGACGCTCAATCGGCGCAAACTTTGCACCGTTAGAAAGAGCTGGTGAAAGAACCTACAATACCGACTGCTCCGATTTTTACTGCAAGTTTCCGATTTTTTATGACCCTACACGAAAAATTCAAATTTTGAGTGATTTTGGTTTTGAGCTTCTATCTCCTTCATTTGTACACATTAACGAACAGTTCAAGCACAGATGCAAAGAGCATGGGTTCCTCCCTTACGCAAAATTTTGACCATACAAATTCGTTAAGAATTTAAAGAGTTATGAATTTTTGAATATGGTGCGAACGAACTTTCGGTCCAACCTAATAACTAAATTCACACTACTTATTGCATTGGTTCAGTTTAGCAAATGTAACGGAGATATTTTTTGAGCTAGTATACATAACAGAAACGGGGGAAATGTACAGATAATCCGTAAGAAACATTTACAGCTATATTTTATTGAGCCATAGCTGCTCAGAACTTTAACAAACAACAACTCAACAACAAACAACAACAGATTAAGCAACAGCACCATATGTACTCTAACAAACTCAACAGGAAAAAATAACTCGACACTGCAAACAAACATTTCAACAACTGTGCTCAATATACATTGCTCGACTATACAAAAAAGAGGCATAAATTTACACATAAATCTACATGCATCTAATCATCCTCGTTATTTTGAACCCGCATTCTCTCGGAATGAAGCCGATTTATCACTCGGTACGGCTTGAGAACATCAATCTTACGCTTTCGTGAGACTGTCTTTTTCGCATTCTTCTTTCGTTTTAACAAAGCAGCCTCTTCGGGGTTAGTCAGGGCCAGCTCCTAAATTTTTTTAGATTAGGTGGTATTCCAGGCTGAATAAATAGAGACAAATAGAGGACATCAAATAAGTACCTTTGCTTTGCGTTTCCGTTCTTCCGTTTTCAAAATAGAAGCTTTTTGACACTCTGCCAACTCAGCAGCGTATCGCTGCTCACCGATCTTATTCTTTAACACTTCGCCAACCTCCATGGAGATGGAAAACAGTTCTTCAGTATCTGAAAAAACTTCGGCATGGCTTGAATACATGGAAATTTGTAGGCTCTAGATTCAATAGCATTTTAGCTGAGAGGCAATCCGATTCAGTTTTCTAAAACATTTGTGCATCCTAAAGTCACTAATTTGCACACTCGCCCTCTCTATTTGTAGCTCTAAAGGGTTTGCAATCCATCCAATAATAGTTTATTATTAGTTGCATCGATGCACAATGGTGAAAGGTGACAAATTAGAGAAGACTGACAATGCCAAAAAAGATTACCTTTAGATGACTTCCTGTTCATTTCACGATTGAGCAAGGGAAGGAAATGTTCTACAACAGTATCAATTTTGAAGCTATGTTCTTCGTGTACGACCAAAGCGGCAGCCATTTTGAAGCAGGTGCAACGCTAAAAGAAATCAACAATTTCATAAAACATTATAGCATACATTTTTGCGAAGTACCTTGAGAGAAACATTGGGCTGACGTGAGATCTCGAACCGACAAATAGTCACCAACTTTTCCACCAAAGCTGTGAACTGCTCATTCGTCAGATGGTGTGATAAGACCACCAAGATCTTTGACGCCTAAAACCAAGATATAGAAAATGCAGAAATGTCAAAGAAACGATTTACAGAATTGCGAACTCACCTGCAGTGCAACATCTTCTGTCAATTGTTTGTCACGCAACTGCCAGCAGCACCAAGCAATAACTTGGGAAACCCGATCAGAGGTAAAGAAAGCTAGATCATAGTGGCTCAAGCACTGCCCGATTAGACATGCGGCCGACAGCCGTATAGTTGACGATTCGTTGCATTTCATCAACTTTTCGAGAGAGTCTGAATTCAATTGGGCAAATTTATCGAGGTCCCTCTTATTCGGAAAATTGGTTCATCATTGTTACAGCTAGTATTCATGAAACTGTTCGTAGCATGAGAACAGGAGCTACCGTTTTCCCGAACCACTTGTACCTACCATCCAAGGTTAATCTACGCTTCGCGATACTTTAGCAGCTCAATGTGAAATTCAAAAACGTTTATAAAAGTTATTCCTATCACCTCCCTATCAAATTATAATTTATACATGGAAATGAGGAGCGAGATTTTCGCAAGTCATAGATTTATCATTCTATTTGTAAACATTGAAATAATCCTACAAATATTTCAAAAATGAGGTAAGCTAAGAACTCCGGATGATAAGGCTAGCGCCATGCTATTTCATCTAAAAAGCTTTCCGTTGCTCTACGCTTATCTTTCCCAAAGTTATCAGAGAAATCTATGCAGTGACAGCTTCTATAATTTTTTGTTATAAATGTAACAAGATGATGGTAGCCTCGTATCAGTTCTTTACCAAAAAGTGTGCAGAAGTCCTCCAGAGCAAACACTTCACGTGCCTCTTCTCCCATATTTTGTAGCATAGAAGCTACACCGTAACACATACCAGAGATGGTGCGTTCACTAAATGAAGGTATACAAAATTTGCTGCAAGACATCTCAGACCGTTAACCTTACCTATTATTTGACCATAATGCTTCTGACACGAATATCGCGCGCAATGATGGGAGAATCAACCTGAATCGTGGGCCGAAGGCCTCTTTTTCGATCTTACTGATCTGCACAAGCAAATCGACAGCAATGGACCGTGCACCCTCCTAAAAAAAATTTTCTACTCGAGATCGTACACTCCTTCAAAGAAGGGATCAGTATCTTAGCGAATCTGAATATCTGGGCTCACCTTCTCTTCTTCTTGCAACTCAAGCCAATCCGAGCAAGCAGAAAAAACATCTCCACGAGTCGAATCGCTGACGGAGGAGAGAAGGTTGTTGATAGCTCCAGCAGTGAATTTCCTACACTTCAAGCTCTCTTCGTTAAAGAGCATCGGGCCCATTTTGGAGATATTGTAGAAGCAAGAATTATTCAACACCGCCTGAATGGTCACCCTTGCATTCTAGACACTAGAAAAATCAGGAAATCTCACGGGTTTGAGCCGAGAAAACAGGCTATTTAGCATGTCTGCGGCACTGAGGCGACCATCTTCAAGTTCGTACGCCAGCTGCGCAATGAACCACTCGATGTGCTTTTGTGGATCATCGGAACAAGGATGATTGCCGATGAATTCGCATAGCACCTATAAGAAATTGAATGTTTGTTTTGTGAAATGACGAGCAAGGTACAGCCGCCGTCCCCTAATACTACAAAAAAAATTGCATAGCAAATATCCTTTATTATTTGATGAAAAGACCATAAAGCTAACGCGATAAACGTACCTCCCTGCACTGAGTACGAATATGCGGATAGGATGAAGTTATTGAGAGCTCTCGTAATTTCTTCATAACATCAGAAATCTTCAAATCACCATATGAGTTTGCCAAGGGATCAAAAATAAGTAGCATCGACCGTACCTGGCTATGCTCAACCTTCTTTCGCACAAGCGCTTTGATTAGAGCGAAAGCCGTAGCTTGCCTATTTGTATCCAGCACGTCCATTTCCACATAGCTCAGCAACAAAGAAACATGTTTATCCGTCAAAAATGGAGTGTCACCCATTGAAATCAGTTGGGTGAATGTCTGTAAAGCGATCAGTTAATGAACTTTGATCCAAAAGAGAGATGTGCAGGTAACAAGCTTGCCTTGCAAAGTAATTGATTCAGGGCAAGCACAGACTCTTTATTGGCAGCGCTACCAAGGACTGAGTATTCAGAGAGTAGAATGAATAGCCTGGAACGGATAGGACGATATTTTACAGTGCTTGAATTCAATGTCTGGCATACCTTTCAGAGATCTGTTTGAGAGATTTTTGCAAAGATGGAAGCGATAGATGAAGCATCCCGATCAAACAACGGAGTGCATTTGTAATCACCTTCAAAAAAGAAACTTTTTCCGTTTTTTTTGCATTCGTAACTATTTACTCTCACAAATTACCATAAACATGCTCAAAGAGGACAAAATGATTTCACGGAGCATCCTATAATTTCTACTCGCCCTGGCAACAGACAGCACATAATGATGACAAGAGTATCTTTGCAACTTCATAACTTGCATTCAATGATGTACCTTTTCATATTTGAACTCAAGACACTGCGTGACTAATGGCACAAACGGATCCAATCGTAGAATGTGCTCCGTATCATTTCGGTCGAAGTTTTTGCCTAAAAGGGATTATTTCAGTGTCTTGATAAACAACGAAGATCAAACCTGTTATCAATGCTCCTAATAGCTGTAGGCCGAATTCGAGAAAAATATGAGCACGGCTTTTCAGTACCGGCTTAACCAGCACACCGATACGTTTAGGCTCCTAAAATGCACAAAATTTAGCATATCGAAACCTCAGTCGATCCATAGGATTCGAACGCAAGAACATGTCACTGTGAAAAGTAAATAGGTAACGCCAAAATATAAGACCCACCGGCGGTAATAAGAGACAGCTTTTATGTTCTTCCTCAGGGAATTCAGATGTTTCCTTCTCGCTGCCCGAGGTGGTCTTCATTTTCTCGATATTAGTCGTAAGTACTTGGTGAATTAGAATGAGCTGTGAAGTTGCGAGAAATCCTTAATGCAGCTCTCTGTGCTTCATATAGATAGATCTCTATTTCCTATTAGAGGTAACAGAAAAGGGAAGAGCAAACCAGAATATTTCCGTATTTAAAAACATGAGAAAAATTCGAACGCTTTTGCAGAAAACATTAAAGAGTCTCCTAACGCGATTGAAAAAATTCTGCATAAGGACGATCTCTATGCAGTGCCAGGTATGGCACTAGCTCTATATCGTGTATCGCTACCTTTTCTACCAATAAATACTTGTGCAAAGTCGCACTAACAGCATGTTTGAGTAGGGTTAGGCAATAGCACGGGTCGCGCAATTGTTTGACTTATTTACACTCGCAAAATCAAAATAATCCCCAAAATTCTCTAAAAATCAAATTTAGCCTTATCGAAAAAGATTTTCGCCAAGGGCCCGCAAAAATCTTAGGGAACACTCCAAGATATTTTTGGAGTGCGTGGCTAACGCCAAACGCCCTCATCCGGAATCCGGAAAGAAGTTTTGTTCTTCCTCCCCCACCCTCCCCCCACGGAAATTCAGGGACCGCTACTACTAGATAGACGAATACAATTTATGATAGTTTTCAAGAGTTAAGCAAAAATCACCTTTGTTGTCTTTCAAGCCATTTGCAAACATAGAAAGTAGGTTTCTTGCTCTAGCGATCATCTTCGACGAAGTCAGAGAGTCCACGACAGTCCTAATTGTAGATTGTATATTGAGACGGATGATGAAAGAACAAAAATTCGAGACTGACATAAAACGTGTGAGCAGGACACCAACTGCAGACGAAGAGACGTAACGGCCAAGCAATAACATAGTTCCAGGCGTGGCATTTTTCTTTGCTTCACTAACTTCCGCTTTGATTGCTCCAACTTCCTTCTCTTCGGAAACTACCGAGAACTGCTCCTTCACTATGATCTAGAAGAAAAACAAAAAATAAGGCGAAAAAAAGGAGTTCCGCCTAGGCCAAACAATCTACTGAAATGGCTAACTTACATCTAGAATATCTTCTAAACAAGGATCCATATCACCCGGGCTAAGAACATCACGCATTGCTGCAACGAGCGTATGTACCGTATAGATCATGACATGCACCTGAAAAATTAATAGATAGCATTCATTGAGAAATAACTTGCACTTCTGTGATTTTCTCCTCTATGTCCAAAGATACTGTGGAGTGTCTAAATATGAATCCCACTACAGCGTAGCAATATCAAAGAAACAATGTTGTGATAGGTTTTTGTCAAACCACTATCGAAGCAGTTTTTCTAGGGGCCAGAACGAAACTTTCATGTAGTTAGGTAGCCAACTCTTGAGCAAATTGAAATAATACGGAATAAGGGGAGAATTTCATGTGAGTATACAACGCGTATGGCTCAAAGGAGAGACACCATTCCAGAAATTTTGCGTGGAGCTCAGATGAGATCGCTGATTTACTGCTCGGAAAGAGTCTTGTAATACTAAAGCATCTTATCCGGGATGAAATTTTTGCTAACAAATGCTATTTACATTGAAGATGTTGATGCAACCGGATTTCAATAGATCTTCTGTTTTCCTCTGATTGAAATTTCTTTCTTGCTTTATCAGAGAGTCTTGCCTCTTCGAAGAGAGGAGTCAGAAAAAAATTGACCTTCGCTAGGAACATTCACAAACTGCCTGCTTCAACTTTGCAAATTTGAAATGATCTACGTGATTTAAGTGCGCAGCTAACATTGGCAGAAATCTTTAAACACTTTCTCAAAAATCCGGAGAACGTGTATGACTTCAGGCCACCAGAATTCAACTCAGTACGATATAGAACTGACCTGAAATCCCTTATTCATGATCAGCTTCATCTCCTTTATTATAAGCGGCAGATATCGTGGACCAAGACATTCGCAGACTTGGACGGTGACTTTACGAGCTGTTTCGCGCACATTCATCGAGCGTGAGATCATCAATGAACACAGCTTCAGCACAACTCTGCAAAAGGGTTGATTTTGCTATGGACACGCTATGACAACGGGTGTTTGGTACTTACCCATGCAAGTACTGTGAGCGAATGCTGTCTGGTACTTTCTGCAATAACTTGACCGTCGCTAATGCTACTGGGGCTCTTTGGATGTCGTCATCTTCACTATAGTGCTTCGTCGTTGCTGTGCGAGCTTTGCGATGTACACCGAGTTCTGCCGACTGCAAATTCATACTCGAATGATAACTGAACTAAGTAACATATGTGATCGTAGGATCCCCCCCCCCTCATTTATACTAAACTCAGCAAGAAATAGCTAAATTGATAGTGAGAGAAACGTGACATATTGGTTTTATGCAGACGAAGTTCTTTTGAAGCAATTCTCAACCTCGTGTGGGTTAGAAAAACCTCTGGAGTTTTCTACCTTTCTATACAACACCTCAACACCACACAAATTGCTGTAGAGTAATATAGGCAATTACCTTTCCATTTATGCATCTAGTAAGCATTGGCAATGTATCCTTATTGAGTTTATCACGAACTGTGATACGTAATTCATTAGTGCTCTCCTCATTCGAAACCTCGCCAACATCCGCAACCTCGAAATGAAAAGCTTCTATAACCGCCACGATGATTCTAAAAGGAGCTAGATAGAAACCAACGCTGGCCAAGAAACAATCAACCTTATGATAGCCTTCTGATTATCTTCTTGCTTGCTCAGATGTTTCAACCACGAATCAAGACAGGATATGTATTTGGACCAGTTGGATACACTCATGGTATAGTTTAGAAGTCGAAGACATTCATCAGATAGAGCTGCAAGGAACGGTCTGCGAAGCAAGAAGTAGCTCACAAAAACCGCACCTGACAATTTGCTGTCAGTAGTGATTAGGTATGGATGAGCGATTGGAACCAGATACTTGTTGAGGACATCGAAGGAGATAACCACCTAAAGATATCTTTCATATGAAGAAGAAGAAACTAGTTTTGTTGTCGATGACCTTTCCTGCTCTCAACTGCTCGACTAGACGATGAACTGCTCGCTGACGACGATGAAGCTGAAGCAAAATTTATTCTGGGCACAATCGAAGAAAATTGACGAAGATTTGGTAAGGCAATTTTATTATGAGCAGCATCCGTATAGTTTATTGTTTTTAAAGCAAGCGAGTTGGGTCCAAAAGGTCTTTTCGGAGCTTTCACCAGCTTTGTCTAATTCTCCAGATAGTTTTAATGGTAAGATGGTAACGTAAAGGTATACAAGTTACAGGTAAAATGAGCTTGACATTTGAGCACTACCGGGTGAAAAGTAGGAGAAAAATGGAACCAAGAAAGGGCAACAACAAAGTACAATGAAGTATCATTCTTTTTACACCATTACATGTATATCGGCGGCGGACCGAGGAAGATTCGCGAAATTTTCGAAAGCTACTTACATGTCTTCAATGTGCAAGACACTTGTGAATATTTGAGTATTTGGAAATATTCAAAATTCATGCCTTGTAAAAAAATTTTTTTTTGAGGGCGCAGCTACCGCCACGCCCTTTTATATTTGGAGGTCGCGAATTCGCAAAAACTTTGGGAAGCATCCCAAACAAATTTCCGGATCGCGTGGTACGCCATGGATTCCTTCCGCACCTTCACTCAAAATTTCTTTGTCGCGCCCCCTCCCTCGGTCGAAAATCCTCGAGCCGCTGACGTATACCATGTGTAGAGAGTGGCAACAAATCCAAAGGCAAAAAATGGATGTGATGAGTTTTTGTGAAGTTGTGATTGAAAAAAGTCATATGAAAATTATGCTGTGCAGCCCTCGCGCCAGAGAGGATGAGGTAAGAACCCATGTACGCTGAAAACTCCGACACACGGTTTGCAAGTGCGAACAAAACAAAGTTCTAGCTGACGTAAGTTTAGTACCAACACCATCGGGGAAAGCAAGCAGGAGATAACGATCTGGCAAGAGATATGTCATACCGTAAACTTACTTGAATATGAATAATATTGCTGAAGAAATCGAGGTCCTCATCTGAGTTTCTTAGCTGTAACAACTGACCATGGGTGTGATTCGGGAATTGATCTACCAGCGAGGTAAGACATCGAATCGACTCTTCTCGCACGACCTGCAAAGGCTGATTCGAAGAGATTTGTTTACAAAAAAACTTGACTCACATCAACGTCAGAGCGAAGACCTTGTGAAAGAGTTTGAATGAGATCAACGTTGAGAAGATCTGTTTTAGCTTTATCGTCGTAGGGGCACTTGGCCAGATGTTCTATGAGAGAGCGCAGATTTGTGGCCGATGATGTGCGCAGTGAGATATCATGAATCTGTGAAAAGATACTGAAGCTGGTGGAAAGTCTACATTGATTTGACAACTATAGAAAGAGACTGACGGTGCTGTAAGTATAAAAATGGGCATGCGCAAATATTCGCAGTACGTCCACATTGATCATTTCGTCCGCGTTCCAGATCTGTAAATGCATGTTTTTACATCTGAACAGAACCCTTTTTCTTCATATTTGCCGCTCGGATATGCAGTTAAATTCCAAAAACGGTACTAGCAAAATGTTTCTATGAAAACAGCAACAAATACAATGTTCAGCTATACTTCCATAACTGAATCAAATACATTTTAAATTTGACAGAAATATTGCTCATACTATGAAATATCTGGACCACTCGAAAAGTTATTATTTGCCATTAAAATCAAGAATGCCTCTCATCTCTTAATTTGAGCGGACCTATGATCTTTATAGCGATCGCAAAAACGACTAAGTGGTCTATTAGAAATGAGTGGTAATAAAAGTAATCTATTACTCACGTCATTGAGCCGAGCATATGCAGAGTGACGTCGGTCATGATCCGGCTCATCAACTCGACTGCGGTCAAAACTTTCCAAATCACAAACTATTTTGAGCAACTGTCGTAGCTCTTCATTAACTTCCGAATTCAAACAGAAATTCCCGACCATCCGCACTAAAGACTCGCGGCATGCGCGACCACCTACGCGCGAGAATAGTGGACCCATACGTCTGCAAACTAACCATTTTTTATGATCTGCATGAAGAAGAAGGGACATACGTCAAAAATTCCTCTGTTCCCACAACATTCTTCATCAGACTACCAAGGACATCCAAGAGCTTCTTTAGAGCTGCTTCCTTCGGCAACTTCCTTTCAAGATGTCCCAGTATTGTGGACGACATTTTTCTAGCCAAAGCTCCATCAGGTGTGTAGATTGACACTCTAAAAATTTCAACTCGATGTGGTAAGAAAAACTGATGTTGTGATGGTTACTTGCTAAGCAGTTCCAGATTACTTTGATTGAATTTCTTTACAGATGATTCCACTGCTTCTGCGAGGAATTGTACTATAGGTTTAATGTATGCAACCACGAGCGAGGTGCCATAATTACTCCCTACAACAACATGAGTGGTAAAGTGGAAGTAATCCAGACCTATGAGCTAGATACCAGACCTTTCTTAATCGGAATTTCCTCGTAATCAAGATCAGCGTAGTGCATGTTCTCATCTGCAAGAGTGAGAAGGTTGAGTAAAGCTCTGCGTATGGTATTCAGCATGTGAGGCGTCAATCCCGGCCAACATAACGGAGCAACAAGAAGCTCCATCAACGATCCAGTGTGATCATTCCTTGTGTAGCGTAGTGCCAATATGTGATAGTGGCTGCAATATTTTTCAATATCAAAAAATTATTTAACAACTTTCAGAAGTTCCTCTCCTCCTGACTGCTGCAGTCTATGGCAGTGAGCTCAGTACGCTAAAATTTGTCCGGGCAACACTGCGACAGTGTTCGGCAAGCCCCTTGGGCGAAACAATAAAGCAGCGGCTATCAATGCCTGATAATCGCCCATTAATCTTACTGATGAGATTTCATGGGCAACCTAACCTCTCTTACTTTCATTTCTACATTCCAAATGCTGGGTCGTGAAGAAGTCCGACGCAAATAGACAAAAAAGTGCTACTACATTATCTCCCTCTATGCCAAAACGAAGGCTACTAAGGTCAATGCGGCGCGATAGAGCCCTGAACCAAGCGACCACTTAGATTCGATACGGCGCATAAAAATCAAGATAATTGCTCAGGAGAAGTTAGGCGGTCCCGATCACACATTCACTCAAAATTTCGTACGACGCCAAAAAAGTTCGCAATTTCTTGATCTCTGAAGCACCGATGCGGACAGCTTTCTTCACCCGGCACCGTTTTTGTCTAAGAGAACAAAAGAGAGAGCTTCAAATCGAAAATTAGGCGGAAATGTAGCACGGGAAACGCAACACTTATCGCATGATGGAAAAACATAGCTGCCGGAGCACGAGTGCGATTATCCAACTCATTCTCTCTAAACAAAAATTGAAAGATACAGAAACACTTTGCAGCAGACTCGACGTAATTGAGGACAAAAAATACCAGTACATTGGCAAAAACTCAAGGATCTGACAGAACACATAAAGCTGCATGAGTTGTTCCCTTTCTCTCTTTTTGCAATAATTCTTGAGACAACGCGAACAAGTAGTTATCCTCAGAAAAGAAGAAGCTAGCCATAGCCGCAAGCAAAATCTCCTTTCTGCTAAGCGTTCGCAATGAATTCAATTATATCTGCTTAAGAATATGATACTTACGATGGATAGGAGCATGCCGCTGCCAGCATTTTTATCACAGATAGAGGAGCGACAACAATTGGTTCGTCGAGATTATTTTTGGCATCAGTTAAGTAGGGTGTAATTACATAAGCGAGAATCCCCTTCAACTCGACGTCAGTGAATGGCCGTTGTGGATACGCCGCAAGAAACTGAAATAGTTGGTGATACTTCCAACATTTGTTACTTCATTCATACCTCTCCCAATCTCTCCGTAAGCGACATTCGCAAATCACGTAACTTCTTCATTAAATAACTTGGAGTATCCGGATGTGCTATGGCGGCCTTAATGACCACAGCTGTTGCCAGCAGAAGATGAACCAACATCGTTCTCTGCTCATCCACAATCACACGTGCGATTCGTGTAAGCAAATTCGACACACTCTCTAGGCATCTGAAAAAAAGGAAATAATAAGTGCACTTTCAGGATGAGAGGATATCGTTCGTTCAAAGTCTGTGCGTCTTTTTACGAATATGGCGCTCGCATCTAATTCGATTTGGTCTTCCATATTGGAACACGCCCTTTAGTGTCAACATGCCCACTTCCAGCTTCTATATGAGGCGCTTATGCAGTTATTGAACTTCTTATCATTTCTGCTCTAGTTTAAAATTTGCGCTAACATCATCTACTTGTATTTCAGACTAGTTTCACATTTTTTGGCGAGATATAAATTTTCTTCCCTTTGAGAAACAGGTGTAAATAACCATTGGTAAACCAACAACCTGAACTAGTGAAGAGCACCGATATGAAAGGAGAGTGATCTAAGTAGCCCGATCAAAGACGGTGGATCTTCTTTTTCACGCAATTGTCTCTAGCCATTAGTTAACAGGAAGCATGTGCTTCAAACACTGAACCACTATATCGAATCAAGAATACTAATTTGTAATATGAAACTTAATGGAGATATTAGGTTGGCCCGAAAGTTCTGTCGTTTCATTTTTGAAAATTCATAACTTTGCGCTCCCTTAACGGCTTTGCTTTGCTATATTTTAATTAAAGCGTTGATCTATCGCTTTCAAATCTGTTTTGCTGAGTTTACTACGTACTGACTGCACAGATAAAAATAGAACAAGTAGACCGTATAAACTTTGTTCATTTTAACTTAGGTCGCCAAAAATCGGGAAGTGCAGAAAAATCTGAAATCGCCAGTACATAGATTTTTTGACCTACTCTTTCCAACTATGAAGAGTTCCTCCTATTTGGACGTCTCTTTAAGAAGTTATGATTTTCGAGAAAAGCGTCAAATAAATTAATTTTGGGGTTTTCTGTAGTAAACTGGTTATTCGTAACTTCTCACAGAGAAATCCAAACAAGCCAATTTTTTCACAGCTGGAAAGAGTGGGTCAAAAAACTTATGTGTTGAGGATTTCAGACTTTTCTGCAGCTTTCCCGATTTTTGGCGACCTAAGTTAAAATGAACAACGCTTATATGGTCTTCTTTTTCTATTTTTATCTCTGCAGTCAGTACGTAGTAAACTCAGCAAAACAGATTTGAAAGCGATAGATTAACGCTTTTTAATTAAAATATAGCAAAGCAAAGCCGTTAAGGGAGCGCAAAGTTATGAATTTTCAAAAATGAAACGACAGAACTTTCGGGCCAACCTAATATTAATCAGGTTCTAATGGTTTCAACTGTTTTGATTGATAATTCTGGATTCCAGACCTAACTGAGGGAATAGTAGGCTGTATGATTTTATATGAATTCGAAAACCAGTACTGAACAATTTAAACAGCATTTTACTTTCCTCAACACTGACTAGAATTGGCCATACGTTTAACGATAAGGCAAAGCTCGGAACCATGTAATAAACAAGCTTACATTCCTTGCCCTCAAATCCCAGCTTATTCGCAACCCCAAATCAGGCACGGCGTAAATATATGGTCTTCCAGCTTATAAGTGCTCGACTGGTCTTAGCATCTCGATTGCCCGCAGGCTTCTCTCCGATCCTTTTCATCGAGAACTTCAGCAAAGCACGGCTGTCAATCGTGACATACAATCTGGCGCGCACCTACAGCATATCATATTTCATATAATCTTGCTATGGAGCGCGTTAGTACAAATTGCACTAATGCACGCTATTCTCTTTTTGTGCTTACTGGTATTGGAACATGTCACTGGTGAATTTACTTAAACTAGCATCCTTCGTCTAGTTTCGTTTCTGATGGCAACCAAGAAACAAAAAGAATGTTTTGGATAGTTTACTCAATGCCATATGCAGCGAAAACGCGAGAACAAAGGCGACTTTGGACAATCTGCGAATGTGCACCAACCATGCTACTCATTATCGCACTATTACAATCCTGACAATGGTTGGGCGGCGTTTGCGACAGCCTCATCTTCCAAGGTCTTTCCTGACACCTTGCACCGGTATTATGAATTTCTTTGTCTCTGTCTCCCCTTTGCCTGAATGCAAAATTACGAATGCAAGCATTTCCTACTGCAAAAAATAATTGTCTGTTCCTCTCAAATCTCGAGCAATCAAGGCTAACCGCTTGCGATTTGTAAATCTTGCATCGATTTCGTATTTCTTATCCAGTCAAAATCACTGGGAAAATTGCACTAGGTGAGCACAGTTGCTAACCCCAAGCGCGTAAACATTTGCCTTTTTATACCACCCACTTTTTCTATGAAACTGCACAATTCTTCCTCTATTCATATGTGTGGTAAAGTTTCTCGGGTAGCTCAGGTAATAGACTCTCTTCACATGCTTGCAATTTTTTCGAACTAACGCGGAGGAGCGCATAGCATCTTCCACCTGCCAGCACTTGCAATAAATAGCTGTTGCTATAGTCGAAGAAAATCCACAAAGACAAGGCAGACTTCAAGGAAGGAAAAATCGTTTTCGCATAATAATGAGTTTTTTAATGCCACTGCTCACTTAAGCACCTTTCTGAGCTTGAATTATTAACTTTAGAGTGCGCTGTGAAAATTTCGTGGAAAACAGCACTTCAACAGTGGAAATTTGAAAAATGTAAGCGATAGAGGAGATAAGCAGATTGTTACTGAGAATACGTTTGTACTCTGTCAATAGGCCGAAAAGCCCACATTTGAAGACCGAAAATGAAGCAATTTCCACTTTTTCTGAATGCCAGTAAAAACTGAGCAAAAAAATCTATGGAGCCAACTGTGAGAAAAAAACACTTCAACACTGGCCCTTTGTACTTGATTCAATCACCTTTTTTTCTCGCATCTGTTCCTCACTGCAACGAGCAGCTCAATGCAAGATCAAAGATCATTCTCATACAAAAAATACAAAAAGCAAATCCTTTCGAACAATCTGAAAGGAGAGCAGACGCAATCTGTCAAGATATTGCCCAAAATCTACTCCGTCATTTCAAGCTCAAATGATCTCAAAATTTTCACGCTATATAGCTACTAACTGACTGTGCAAAATTCTTTGCAATTCAATAGCACCTTTCTTTTCCATTTTGCTGCCATTTCATCATGCATTACCAATCCTTGACATAAACTGCAATGCACGCTCACTCTCAAAAAAACCAGTTTGAGGTATTCCCACTGTAATCTGTACATTCAAGCTTTACCCAAAATGCCGAGTGTTAATTATGGTTTGCAACAACTGCAATGCTATGACTCTAAGAAGAATAGTGCACTGCTATTGCTAAATCAACTCGTAGGTAGTCATAGATGCTAGATGCCGTGATGCCGAAAACTTCTGTAGTTACCCCAAACAAACTCCTCGTAATCAGACTCCTACGCCGTAGAAAAAAATCGCTTGGTCAAAAACCAATTCACAGTTGTCCATCATCACTCAATGTAAACTGCTTCTTCACATTATCGACAAGTTGTCCTGCACAGAGAGTGTGCTAGAGGAAATGTCAGATGCCAAACCACACAACTGTTCGTCGCGGTACACTCGAAATCAGCAACCCGTTCGTAACAGCACAAATTTTAGCATCAATGTGACGTATGACGTCGCCAGCGATGTGACCAGTCATCAGCATGGTCTCCAACTCTTTTTTCGTATACTTGTGGTTGTACCTCCCATTGCTCACAACGGGCAAGCAATTTTCGGCTAGAAATGCAACCGTGAAATGCAGGTAAGAAGTTTCAGCTAATTCTTGGATATGGATTAGCCATTTCAGCCTGATTAGAAAGAAGCTAGGGCCTCATCCCTGTCCGACTATCCACATGAAGCGCGAAAATGCGTGAAGCTGACCAGGCTCATTATGTCAATTAACAAATTCAGGCCCAACTTCAATTATTTCTGCCCTTTGCGACTTGCTCTAAATAACCTACAATAAATTTTTCTGCCGTTCCGCTTAAAATTTATCCAGTGAACAAGGATGACGCATTCGCGCTTCGTTATCCAGCAATGCTTCAGACATATTCTATCTCAAGGTTTTGGTTTCCAAGTTTCAAGATTTGACTGCACCGCTGTTACCAAAATGACCGATGTTACCAATATTACACTCATTCCTAATCCTGCTGACTTGTGTTCCGCATTTAAAAAGGACTTGCAGCCTCCTTCTTCTACTGTTCAGGATAGCTAGCTGGTGGATACTTCCCTTTACTATTCTTCTAATTTGAAAAAAAAAAGTAGCAGCTAGCAGTAACGCGAGTGGAAGAAGGCGGCTGCAAGTCCTTCTTTCAGGAACGGTTATAGTGAAATGATAACAGTTGTATCAGTGCCAAGATTGGTAACACTGGTACGGGTGGTAAAGTGCCCAAATCGTAAACAAAAAGCAAAGCGTGCAGAGTTTTGGTACGACTCAGGGATTAGCCGGTTACCAAGACAGTTTTCCCATATTATTCTGATACTTGCCGTTCTACAGGGTAGAAAGCGTGAACAACTCCTGGGGTGCGAATCTTGATGCACCGGTGATAGCACCATCTACCAAAAATTGTTTCCGTAAAAAACTTAGAAGGAAGCCAGGCGCAAAGTTTTCATTCTCATTAATGCGCAGATTTTGCATAGTACGTATAGGCTTGTAAATTTGCACCTTTCAGATTCATGGAATCTCCAGAAGAGGACATCTGGCGAAACTGTGACTGCGTTCCAGTAGACAATGATGGTTCAGTCCACATTATGTGCCGCCAACTATTGGCTCCCACAGTACCATCTCTACCCTCTGCTGATGGAAATCACAGAGAAAGTATTGTCGCCCTATCGATGGTCGAAGGCAGCCTAGCCTTCGTTCAGCAAGATGCTTTCCGAATGCACGACATTCAAGCCCTAGATTTTTCTAACAACCAGATTCAAACAGTAAACGTAAACGCTTTTCGAGGTTTAGAGGTGAATTCCGACCATATAAAAAACCTTCGTCATTCAAATCGTTTCAGATGAAGCTGACTCATCTTAGCCTCAAGCACAACAACCTGTCCGTCATTCCTGCCTGGGCACTTACGTATTTACATCATTTGCAAGTGCTGCACTTGGACGGCAATCGCATAAGCTATGTTCGAGCTAATACCTTTGATGAGACTCAACTCAATAACCTCCATTTTCTTCACCTTGACAACAATCAAGTACGTCTTTTGGAAAGATTTCCACAAATGCCAGACCACTACATTCAGATAACCTTCATTCCAAATATGGCTTTTGCAAGGCTTCGCTTGATCGTGCTCACATTATCGAACAATAGGATAACCCATTTGGAAAAAATGTCGCTTCCCCCCTCGCTAAGTATCCTTGAGCTCAAAAACAATCTCCTAACTCAGGTACCAGCCACTCTCTTCAAAAGTAATTTTGCAGCAAGAGCATCCAAGAGTATTTTCTAGATTCCCTACCTCGCACTGAAGGAAGAGACTTCTTTGCAAGTACTGGATCTCGACGGAAACAATATAACTTCCCTGCATTCACACTCAGAAGTACATTTCAAAAATGAGCTGAGGCTTGTGTTACGAAATAACAAGATACGATCGCTGGCAAGCACTTCTTTCAAAAGCTTCCGAAAATTCAAAGAGCTTGACCTCAGTTACAACCAGGTGAGACTTTCGAAGCAAATACGATATAGCAACTGAAGTTCTTTCAGATATCAAGTGTACATCCGGGAGTGTTCGAGGACATAAGCCAGATAAAAACTCTGGACCTGAGCTACAACTCGATAGCTTTCATAGCTCGTGGAACTCTGAAGAATTTGGCAAAAAATCTCGAACGATTAAATCTTGAGGAGAATATTTTCCATGCGCTTCCAGAGGCCCTCAAGGACCTCCGAAATTTGACACACTTGAATCTAAATGGCAACAAGCTCAGCAAGTAAGATGCTAGATAGGTTATAGGATATACACAAACAAAGCGAAATGACATAGGATCTTATCGTGATATTTCTAGGCTCAATGAAGAAGTGACTGGCGGAGTGAAAGACGCACTAATAGAACTATCACTAGCTTACAATCGCTTGAAGATGGTTCCTACAAATATCCTAAGTGGGATGACCCGTCTACAGCACCTCGACCTATCCAAAAATAATATAAAAAGCCTTCATCGACTAGCATTCGGAACATTTGACGGGACCGGAACAAGCCTGGTGCACTTGAATTTGGCTGGTAATCAGCTCAAAATCATAGCCGATCCAGGAGTTTTCCTCTATATGACTTCACTGGCATACCTGGACCTTTCATACAATCAACTTGAAAAAATCGAGCCACAAGTGTTTGAGAAACTACCCGGATTGGAGCGCCTATATTTGCAAGTGAGATAATCAGAATCGCCTTCTAGAAAGCACACTATCTTTTTTTCAGAACAACAGACTGCGTGAAATGATTTTTGGAATGTCAAAGATGCAAAAGCTCCGTCAACTCAATCTAGATAACAACGAAATCAAAGAGCTGCCAGACTACTTGCTCACCGCCACCCCCATCCTTGAGCACTTGTCGCTGGCAGCAAACCAAATCAGTTCGATAAATGGCAAAGTTTTCCATTCTACTACTTCCAAAGCGCTAAAATCGCTCAATCTCGGCGGAAACAAAATAGCAAACATATCGGGTAGATCGTTTGAACTTCTTGAAAATCTACAGGTGCTAAAACTCAACAATAACCGCATCCGCAGCATAGATTCATCGGTAATGATTCACTCTTTGAGACTATGGTCATAAATCGAATTAGTTGCAGGTATTTGCGGAATTACGAAACTTGCGGCATCTCGACCTATCCAATAATGAGATCACATGGATACATCCGCAAGCGTTCTCGAATATGCCGGCTCTTGAGACTTTGCTACTTGACAACAATCGTATAGAAGGCATCGACAGATCTGCATTTCATCGAATCAGTCGCATCGAGACACTGGACCTTAGCCATAACAAACTGAGAAACTTCAGTTGTGAGCAGTTAGGCTCTATCCAAACTGTCTACAATCTCAATCTCGCCCATAATCAACTCGCACAGTGAGTATCCCCTCTTCAGTTTTTTTGGGCTTTGAGTACTAGCTCTATTGCCTTCCAGGATTGATCTCACGTGCATTCTACGAAGCCTGATACGCTTGGATCTAGGACACAATTTCTTGGAAACGATTAGGAAGGACATGATGGATGGTGCTGATAGACTACTGGATATCAATCTTAGCAACAACGGCATTTTGGAATTACAAGGACACACATTCTCATGTTGTCCGAGACTGACTGCTATCGACCTTTCGCACAATCACCTAAAAACGGTACAAAAAGGAACGTTTGCTGATCAGGTAATTTTCTTGACTGTTTTTATTCTCCATCATTTAAAATATTAGGTTGATTCATAATTAATGCACGTTTTTCTCACCTCTTCTTTCAAGAGCTGGTATTTGATGTGTAATCAATTTCCTCAAAAACTTTCAAGCTATCTGAAAGAGCGCTTTTTCTAGTTTCTTATGTGGCCTTTCGCTTTCGTACATCCCCGTTCACTCCAAAGTTCTGAGCCTTCAAATAAAAGACACTAAATCCCAAAATTTTTGCTTTTCACACTTTTTGCCCTAAATCCATGAGGAATAGGCGGATTAATTATGGAAAATATGCATATGGATTAGGAGACTTTGTGCTACAAGATGCTATTTGAACAAAATACTCCAAGAATTCTGAACCGAGAAATTCAGTTGCAAACTTTAATGATCATCGCGGCCCTTCCGTGCCATAAAAAACCTTGAAGCAAAAGGCGATTGCAGGTCTTTTGCACTATTCAGCAAGGGTAGACCTAGTTCATTTGATGGTAGAAAAGCGCTAGGGTTTTCTCACTTTCCAGTGGAGAAAAATGAAATAATTTCAAAAATGACCAATTTTTGAACCCGCCGAGATGCCAGAAAAAAGTGAGTACTTTAGACTTTTTCGCGATATTTTCTTTCAAATTTTTTCCGTAAAATTCAAGCTTGGCACTACTGCTCAAGAGACCTTTGGCTACACGATGAGCGAAATCTGCTTTATCCTACTTCGTTTGAACATAAGTTATGCTCTCTCAAAGTAGAGGCTTCTGAAAAAAAGTTGTTGGTAAACATCAGGCTAGAAAATCTTTTTGTGATAGATACAGTCACGCAAAAGTACGTGTTTTATAGCCACTGACTTGATGGTTACAGCAGTTTTTATTGCGTCCAGAAATGTCTTTTCAAAAAAGAATCAGCTTTGTTGAAAGTTGAAGTATAGAAAACGTGCATTAATTATGAATCAACCTAATACAAAAAAAATCTGCTGGCTGAAGTATTTTCAAAGGCCAAGGCCTGCCTCTGTCAAAAAAAAATTTTTTTTTATATTTCAAAATAATCTTTGACCCTTGCTCCGCTGTGATTCATGTATGAAAGGCAGTCTTGATTCGAGACTAACAAGCCAGAAACATCCCTTTTGATTATTTCGTGACGCACTTTCCTCCGTTTGCCATCCATTTTCTTTCAAAAGTTATACCGTAAGATCTTTCTCAAAACTTAAGTTATCAAAGTCTTGACATTCATTTTGAGCAGAAGATTCCCCGTACAAATGGCATTTTTTAGTGAAAGAAAAATGATTTAAATAGTTACGGAAGTAACCTGTGTTGTAAAAAGTATACTTGATCGTATCCCTCAAAAAACTCACAGAGTTTTTCAGTATTCACAGACAAAAACAACGGGGCTTGCTATCGCTTACGCAAACCAGAAGGAGTTTCAAGACCATTTTCGCAAGGGGCTGGGGAGGGGATGGGGGACTATCGTTGTGCTCCAAAACCTACAAACACTACTCTGCTTTCCAGTGGCGGACCGAGGTGGGGGTGACGAAATTTTTTGAAAGTTGCTTACATGGCTTATGAAATTGTGTGAATTGTTTATATTTGTGAATAATCAAAATATAATAAGAATATAATACAATAAGAAGCCTGATTAAAAAAATGGCTGTCGCCAAGTCCCATTTCTGATATTTTGGGATTGTGGGCCCACAAAAATTTCGGGGAGCCTTTCAAAAGAAATTTGGGACTTTCATTCGAAAAAAAAATATCTATCGCCCCCTCCCATTCCCCCGAACGGAAATTCTGGGACCGCCACCGTTACATTCTTATTATAGGAACTATTGACACGCCTGGACCTAAGCTACAACGTCCTACAAACATTTCAACGTGGATGTTTTGGGAAGAATAACATCCTCCAACTCAATGTAGCCTCCAACGAGATTGCAAAAGTTCCCATAGAAGCCCTGCAGTCTACAACATGCATCTCATCTCTTAATTTGGACAAAAATCAAATCCGAGTACTAGAAACGTCACAGTTCTTTGGACTACATAATCTAACCAGACTGGTGATCTCACGAAATCTTGTTGAAGCTATTGAAGACGCAGCTTTCGAACAGCTCCCAGCACTCAATTATTTGGATATCAGCAACAACCCTATAAGCACTTGGAGTCCATCTGCTTTTAGAGTAAGTTGATTAAGTTTTATCGCTACTCTTGACTATCTAGGTAATCAAGACCAGTTTAGAATATGGGTAGTTCTATAGAAAGCCTCAATCTAGCGAACACCGGATTATTTTCTATACCGAGAATGGAACACCACGCTATTCGTCACTTCAATTTGAGCATGTGAGTATAATGAGCACTGAATTTGGAAAATTCTTCAAGTCCCAACTGATAGTACAAAGCTGCAATCACAGTGATCTCAAAGCTGCTATTCTTGCGAAACGGAAATGAAATATGAAGTACTAAGGTTGAGAAAACAATCCAAATTTGATAAAGGTCCAAAACTCCTATACAAAAAGCCACTGTTGCGATTCTTCTTGTTAAGGTTTTGGTTAGAGGATACATAATTCAGAAAACTATGTAAAAAATCCTACTTCTCACTTCCACATCTCCTTCAGATTAGTATTTTAAGACACAATGAATGATTGGGAGGATGACAGAAGATATAAATCAAACCTGAGAACATAGCTTTTTTTACAGGAACAAGATCTACGAGATAACAAGAACGGATATGAAAAGAACGGCGCAATTGATCACGTTAGATATCTCAAATAACAACCTTCAAAAGCTTGAAGATGATGTATTCGAAGATCTAGTGAATCTCAAAGAACTGAATATAAGCGGAAATCCAATCAAATACATTGTTGGTAATCACTTTCAGCCTCTGTATGAGGTAAGGAAATGAGCCATGAGAAGATTAAAAGATAAGAGCTCCAAATGAGTTTACCCCTGTACTTTTAGCTCGAAACACTGTCGATGCATGATCTTCCATCACTGACGCAACTACCTAGTCCTTCCGAGTTTTCTTATCTTGCAAGCCTTCACAATTTAGAGGTAAAGTTGATATCTGCTTCTCATCAAAAACTACATGCACTAGTAAAGTCGCAACATTTTAGATGTACAACGTCGGGAATAGCAGTTTGAGGTGTAATGTAACCCACATCCTGCACCACCTACCACCGTTGCAATCTCTGTACATAGAATTGCGAGATCCGATATTCGACAGCCAATTGCATGATGTCGACATGACACACATGAGGCGATTGACAATAACCGGAAAGACTATCGCAAATGTAAGCAGAAAAATATCCAAAAAATTTCCGAAACATTGTCTGATTACAGATAAGTTCGACAGCAGTGCACGCTTTGAGAGGTTACAAAGTGCATCTATCTGTGATCAACACTTCATTGCAAGACTTCCCCACATCCCTCTTCACCACACTAAGCGGCATCTACTTTCTCACCTTAACTCTATCATTCAACAAAATTCGAAGCATCCAACCATTCAAAAACTCGGTTCAACCTTGGGTGAATCAACATGGTACAATACTTGAGACAATTGATCTAACCGTAAGTTCCTTACAAAACTTTTTTTCCTAAAACCACAAACGTGAATGGTTCAGGGAAATCCAATTCAGTGCGACTGTTCAATGACGTGGTTGACCGAATGGATACGATCATCCACAAGCAACGCGCGGCAGCTTGAGCACGTCTATTGCAATAATAATGCAATACAGGAATATTCATTAGCCTACGTGTATGCAAGATATGACGTAAACTCATCTTTGTGCTCATCACAAAACGGGAGAACTGTTGATATGATTTCATTCTTTGTTTGTACATTATGGGTACTGCTGTTTGTTTCAATATGATGTATCAACCTTATGAATAGTAACTATATTGTTTGATACCAACCATACGAAAAACGATTCAAAACGAAAAAAAAAACCAGGCTTTTCATACCTGTTCAACTTGGCCAGATCAATCCTGAACAGCGCTTCCTTGCTGTCGCATAGACTTTCCATCTTATTGAAATCCAAATCTGTGGACCCTGAAAAAACTCCCATTCGTGAAATCTCACATAATGGCAACTTACCAATGAGTTCGAGGATAGGTGCGAAAAGAATTTGCATGAATTCCAACAATTCATTAGGGCGGCAGCCACCAAGGTAACGGAAAATAGCTGCACGTCGAGACTCATACAAGTTCCGTTTTGTTTGTCCCCAAAGTTTACCATATAGTAATCTTAAGTGATTCTGTATTACGTTCTGCTATCATACTCGACGAAAGTTACCTCAAAAGAATGTGCATCACAGCACACCTATGGTCTTCGTGGATCACACTATTTCCTTCCTCTTCATTGATAGAAAACAAAACAAGCTGTTCACGGAAAGACTTCTCATCAAGGAGACGTTCGAAGTTCTCCCTTGATAAAAAATACAGTTTGGTCAAAAAGTACTAGGAATCTCAATCTCACTTGTATGGAAGCAGCGACTTGTCTTTGTATGAAAATATACAAGCAATGACTGACTTCTGCACCATGTCATTGCCAATCATCAACAGCTTAAAGATGTTCATGTCCATATGCAGTATGTAATAATTAAGACATACCTGATCATAAACCTCTCGCACTTTCGCTTCTAGGTAAACTGATTTAGCATCAGTGAATTTCGAGAAGACATCAAGTAGAGCGCACAAGGCCTAAAGGTGACCGTATAGATAGAGAATTTTATGGTTTGCGGCAAACAATCGGAAACTTACCTTGGTAGTGTTGATTTTTTGTTCAGTGTTCTTGTCCGGAAATTCCTCAAGCTCTTTGTTTGGAGTTTCTTGTATACGGGCAGCACTTAGACAGCAAGATCTTATGTTTTCAACAACAAGTGGGAGATAATCTTCTCTAAAATGTAAACAATCTCTTTAGACGAGACCACTAAGAGATCAAGGTAACATAAGCATACTCATAAATCTTGAGAAGTACTGGGGATAGAATTCTAGTCCGTCGCTGTGCTAGATCCGAGATCTTGCTCATGAATTTGAAAATCTGAAAGACAAGCATTTTTTCCGAATTTGCTAAAGGGAAAGCGCACCTGAATCCGTGCTGAGTTATAGTCATATCTATTGTTACCATCACACCATTCCAAAAAAGGGCTATCAACGGAGGAACACTCACGCTTGTGACACCCTCAAATGTCAGGCCTTGATATTGGCTTATGGATACAACAACTTCTATCTCACCCTCATTGATCTGTTCCAGTATTTCAAGTATGATCGTCCAAAATGCGTCGATCTCCATACCACGGGCGAAAGATTCCAGCAGCTCATACATGCCTGGCCAAAGTTTTGTGAACTGCACGAAAAACTGTGCAAGGCCCACTCGCAGAATGATCTTGAAATAAAGTCAGAACATTATTAGAAAATGTTGAATTTGATTAGAAAATATATAAGACTATACGGAAAATTTACTCACATGGTCATATTTAGTCCCCGATCCACGAGGAAGATGTTTTTTGTGTAAACCAAAATTTAACTTCCGGAACTGAAGAAGTCGGCCACGAGAGTCAATTATATTGCAGCGTTCAGCTGCTAGCAAAATATCAAACATGCTTTCCTTGACGGCCTCAAAAAGAAAATTTTAGGTGACTTACATTATTTATATCTTCTAGTCACCTGTGAGCCATTGTCTTTCTCGTCTTGGACGCCTTCGACCTCAATTTCGAGGCAGCACAGGATGTCCAAGGCAGCACATCTTACGGATGAATTGGGATTGAAGAAACAAGGGTGGAGAAGATTGACGACTCTAAATGATTTTAAAATTACGTGGTATAGTTGCCTTTACTGGCTCAAAACTTCTGTGGCATTTTTTTTGAACATTGCAACATTCCTGCTATCTCAACGGATCCGTTTGGTCTTGATTTGTATGGAAAGAGTGAATCATCTCATAGCAGCACGTTGAATAAGAATGTGTACGGATAAGTTTGATGAGGAGATCGGAGTGGATGAAAATTACTAGGAAATTGGTTTTCAAACTACTGTTAAGAACTGGAAGCTCGCAATATTCCCACACCGTAAACAATGACATGGTCGTTTCAAACCTCACTAAAAAGCTGTCGTCATTCGAAAGTTGCCAAATGCTGCAGACTAAACTGCAGTGCAAGCATCCTTTCAAAAAAAAATCTTAGATCATTGTCAGGCTTTAAACATGCTAGGATCCACGGTAGAAAACATCTCTATTTTCCAACTTAACTACTCTACTCTCCTATGAAACATCAAACCAGCAGAAGTTTTTCAAACAACGACGAGTACCTAACAGAGAATACAATGTTGACGTCAAGCAAAATGGAATTTCAAATTATTAGCCGCTACCATGAATGATCAAAACTCGTGATATGAATATGCACCCACCTATTCAAATTAACCATCTTCCTCCAACTAGGCTCAGCAGCCAGGTAAACCCCATATGCTTGTAGAGCAGATTCGCTGCATCCTGTATTCCTGTAAAGAAATTACGGGATTCATTCTCTTTTCTCTGGAGTTTACCTCAAAAATTGTTCCAAAATAGAAAGATCAACATTCTTCAGTTGTTTCTTATCCATTTGATAGAGTGAAGAGATTGCAATATAGAGAAGTTGGGAAGCCACTAACGAAAAATCACTACCCGATAGGAGGGTCTGGGTATATTTCAGGACCTGATCCATGCCTAGGGTAAATAAAAAATACAAGCGACAGTGTACTTTCAACAAATGAACATTACAATAGGATTGCTAACATTAATTAGCACCAACAAAAATATCAAAAGCTCACTGCTTATTTCTGCTGAGATCCAAGGCCATACAGCAAGCACATGTCCTGCGGCAATCTTGCCCAACTCATTCAAATGACCAAGTTGTTCGAGTATATACTGCTGTATAGATTTGTGATGAAGTAAATCAAGAAACAAAACTCGTCCTAAAAAGGTGAATGAGCGAGTAAAGCTTCCTGCTAATGGTAAAGGGCTTACCTCTGCCAACAACTGCTTGAACGGGACGTCTCTTCAAGCACAACGAAGAGTACAGTTTTAGCAACCTTGGCAGCAAGGAGTGTTGCTAAAAATACCAAGGAGACCAAATATTTGAGTTACACATGAAAGAGTAGTGCAAGTTTGCCTCTTGACTCTTGCATATTACATACCTCAGCGATTATACGGTCGGAGAATTTCCCAACAACAGGTAAAATACATCTATCCGTATACACCAAGTCCAAGATGTTGTCAAACAGATGAAAAGCCTAGATTTTTTTTCAAATCGTAACCCGAGAGAAATCAAAGAAGCATGAAACAACTGACGACGGAAAGGTCACCCCGTTTCTGACAAATGTTAGAACATATGGAAGCAATTGCATCGCCCCATTCACTTCCATGGAACACACGTACAACGCACTAAATGGCAAGAAAAATAAAGCATGTCCTGTTATACCAGCAGATCAAGAATAACAGTGCTCTTACCTCAAGATAAAAGTCTATGAACTCGAAGCATAGGTCAAAAAAATCACAAGCGATAGCTTTCTCAATAGCTAAGAGCAACCGCTTTCGGGATGTGAAAAGATTTGTACGTTTCCTTTGAACGAAGCAGAGTCGCAGAAGCTTTGTAGAGTATATCAGTTGTTGCATGGATGATGATGATTCCAGAAATCTCTTTAAAAAAACGAAAGTGTACCAGGAAACAGCAATACGTGTTGTGGACTCACAATGAGAATTTCTTCAAGAAAAAGAAGCTCTGCTCTTGTACTGTTCTGCACGTGATGAACTATCAGTCCAACAGCTTTTTCCAAAACAATGACGCCATATTCGCGCACTTCTCCAACGGATAGTGATAATACAGCAGAAATTATACACTCCACTTGCTTAATAAAACTCAATCATCGCCGTTTAGAAACTGAAGTTCCGAAAACACTACACACGCACCTCACTAGCAGCACTATGGAAACCACCTCCTACACCCTTGCAGATATGGAAGAACAACTCAGCGCATCCATCGGTCAAATGGTCGTCACGAACTTTGAAAGCTTGTTCGACGGTTTGACAGCAAAGCTGTAAACAAAGCTATATAGGCAGATTCAAGAGCGTCGAACGAGTCACCTTTTTAAGATTAGAGGATTTCCTCATAACAAAAGAGAATGCCTCTGCCGCAAATCGTCTGACATAAGGGCGACTACTGCCAAACAATGGGATAAAACGCCTAAAACAACTTTATTACTTAAGTCTGGGCTATAGACATGTGCTGCATGCAGAAACCCAGAGCGATGTATTCCCGTAGTCCTGTACTCATGCACTTTTTGTACATAGTGAGCTTCGCGTTTTATAATGTAGCATAGGAGGTAAGTCGAAAGCGAGTTGCTAATGTAAGAAGGAAAACGAAGACAACTTACACAAATGACCGAGTGAATTGCCTCAACAAGGTTCTCCACATAACCCTGACCATATGTGAAAGGCAATAGAATGCAGCTTCTACAGATTCAACATCTCGCTCTCCGAAATCTGAATTGCATACATAACTCACAAATCTTATGCAGTTCCAATTCCAACCGAGAATATTTGTGAGAGCTCCAAAGAAACTCCACATTATATCTCCGAAATCTTCTCGTAAATCCAGCGCCAAAGCTGACAGCAGTTCGCAAAATGCAGGCACTGATTTACATTCCTAAAATTTCCCTCTTTTTGTGTACAATACTGCTGATTACGATAGAAGTGAAAAATACAGGATCCTGCAAGCATTTCAGCAATGACTCTGCTATGCTTCTGCTATGGTGTAGGAGTTGTGCGTGAGTGCTCAGTTCGTCACTTGGTAAACTATCGACGAACGATGCTGAAGTGCTTCTCATTTATAATGGCTTCCCCATAAGAAAAACAGCTCACTGTAATCAGCTGCAAAACTTTGGTCATTCCACTTAGTCAGAGCTTCCGTAAAGAATAGCTCGCCATCTTCCCGGCGACGAACAAGCTTTCTGCTGAATTTCGCACTGTCTCCACCGATACGTTCGACAAGTTGATTGAAGGTATGGTGCTGAACAGCAAACAAAGAATTATGTAACAATATAATATAATATATGAAATTTGTACTTTGAAGCGTTGGCGTTTGGGAGGAGGCGGTTCCTCTTGATCATCCATATATTTTGTTTCTAGATCAAAATGGTGTCCCGAGAATGCTGTAGAAACAACTATGAGAAGAAAATGACCAAAGTATCAACGTAAGTAAAGTTTCAACACAACTTCTCAATTAAACCCTTCGAAATTATAAAGGTCAAATGTTCTTATCTATGCCTAGACTTCTCGTTATAAAAAGTACGCAAGAACGAGAGTGTATGAGATGTTTATGCGCGAGCGCGACTGCTATGGAAGCACACCAAAAAATTTCTTCTTGTGAACTTGCGCATCAACATCGAAAATGAGCTGAAGCACAATTTCAATCTGTAGAGCATCCCTCCAGCCCCCAAATTGTTCGAGTACATACTCTTCGAGCGTCATAGAAGTCCCTTCCACCGAAGTATATGGATTTGCATATAAGAACAATCACCCAAATATGTATAACGACCGTAAATGCAAATACTTAGCTTAAATGACTGAAAAGATGCTCCGTTGCATTAACAACTTCTAACCAAAAGCAAGATTCATTGCGCGCCCCAATCCATTTTTGTGCACTCTGGCAATAACTCGATCGGTCGTGGGACGATTGCCTGCTCACGGTCCAGCCACTTCAGTATTGAACTCCGATGCGAGACGAATGAATACCTGAATTTTAAGCATCTCAGCTTCCGCGGGGATGGTTTGTGGTTTGCGGTGTTATATGATGGAAGTGACTAGGCTCATTTTGTGTTTTCGGTTTTTCTTGTGTTTCCAACTCGCTTAATAACTTATTCTACATGCATTCGGTAGTGGAATTATCACTATTCTCGGCCCTATTATGAACATCAATCTTCTTTCCTTTGCCATGTCTGCAATTTAACGATGTGGATTGCTCGGTTTCATTTTTTTGCGTCCGCTTCGTATCTAGTTTTTATCCCATCAGAACGTATATATAGTTCAAAAATCGGGAACGGGTCATGACTCACAGTCTGAGCGAAGTGTTCGCCAAGTTTTGCAGCTCCGCAACAACCACCTCAAGAGGCTGCTCCCGTCAACTCCCGGCGAATATTACTTATGGCATTGAACAGCACCGAAGAGTTTTTATGGGCGCAAAATTTGAGCGCGGCAAAGCTGCCGTGCACGGTGTGAGGGACCCGTCATACTTCGCCGAAAAAAGCCCAAAGAAGCCCAAAAAAGCCCAAAAGCGCCAGAAAAAGCCGGAACACTTCTCGCAGGTTTTGGCGCTAAGGCATGTGTGTTGACTTCGCAATCGAGCCTTTTTGTCATTTTTTCTGTCGTCCGCATGATAAGATAATGTCAGAATTCTACCAAAAGTTCGTTTCTACATTCGGGCTCTTTCTGGCGCTTTCGGGCTTTTTTGGGCTTTTTCAGGCTTCTTTGGGCGCTTTTGGGCTTTTTTGGGCGCTTTTTGGCTTTTTTCGGCGAAGTATGACGGGTCCCTGAGTCATGACTTGCGGCCCAAAAACGCAGACCAATCAACGAGAACGCACTGCAGTGAGATTGTTTACGCAACAAGGGTATGTATATAACAGAGGTACATAGATACCAGTGACAGAAGCGTCGGTCATAGCCTCAGTGTTCTTTCATTGCGACAGCGAATGCTGATTATCATGATTTATGATAACCCGCTAATCTGTCGGTCTGTAAATTGGTCTGTTACGAAATTACAGTGAAGAATGATTTACATTTCTCCAACGCATGTGAGAGCTGCAATAAGTAAGGTTCGTTTTTGTGATTACGCGATCTTCCCACTGAAGAATGATGGAGACATTATGATTATGATGCAATTTTATCTACGCTTTTCATGACCAATGCGGACCTCTGCGAAGCACAGGTGAAGCACCGATTTTTTTATTTGACCAACATGAACGATGGCTTGTGACAGCCATGTGCGTTGCGTAGGTCAAATCTTTCTCAGATTCTATATTCACGCTGTGGTGATATGTCAATAATTGGAAAAAACGTGGGGAACTCAAAAGGCCCTAATTCTATCTTCCGACACCATTTTCAATCCTGCATAAACATATTGCTTGAAAAAGGACGAGTATATGCGCAGCATATTGACAACCGTAGGGCTACAGTATGGTTATGCGCAGCTGTGGTTCATCTTGGCTACAGCCACGTCCTGCATTCTTTATCCAGCTATCCCACTATATTAAGAGATAAGTTAATCAACTGGGTTCAGTCTGTGAAAGTTGACTCATCGCAGCGACAGTTCCAAATTCGTCTAAACTCCACACTTTTTTCGCTGATTTTGATCTCCTCAAGCTTTGCAACGGGACGAGTGGCTCAGTGATATGAGGCGCCGCTATGACCAGATCGGACCTGGTTCGATCTCCGCCTCGGGCTAACCAAGCCCTCTACCCCGGGGCCGTAAATTGGTAGCAGAAATCTGGGAGGATAAAAGCACTGACTTGGTAATCGGCTGGCTCCGCAAGTCATTAAGCTCGCACGCCAATAGCCTCTTCGACTATGAAGTAGAGTGCGTTCGCGCATGCCCGCAGAGGGTATTGAAGACGCCAAATTCTTTGTCTTTTTTTATAAGCTTTGCAACTTTGTATCCATAGAATTGCGTAGCCAAGTTGCCATTCGAATACAGTTTCGCTGATTCCCTCCCAGTGCTGTATTTAACTAACAAGGGAAGGATAGTTGGATGCCGCGGCCATTCCTAATGATTTGTATACCAAAAAATGCGCCTTCGAATGCAGATTCTGAATCTGTGCTCGATATCTGCGAAACGATCTTTTGAAGAAAGTTATGAACTTTTTTCCTCGAAAATTTAGCCTACTTTTGGATAGTAAAAATCACCAGATTTGATCTAGCCTACCGTTTGATGCTACTGAAGAAAATTTTAGACGTAATAATATTTATTTAGACTATCTGGATCATACTCAGCATTTGGAAAGGAGAGAAAAAATTTTTATTGATGATTTTGACCCTCCGCAGGAACGCAATTTTTTTAATGAAAAAAAATCATAACTCCATTCAGATTATCGTTTCGCAGATATGAAAGACAGTCTACGAACCAGCATTCAAAAGCGCATTTTTTGGTATACAAATCATTATGAATGGCTACGGCATCCAAGTATCCTTCCCCTGTAAGATCTGCATAAAATAAACGTTGTACGATGCCTCCTTCACTGGTGAGTATTGAATTTTGCTTCTCATTATCTTTCTGTTAAGATATTCCCGGAATGGCGGATCTAGCACAGATCGCGGGTCCGCACTTGGAGCAGTACGAGGGACTGTTTAGAGAGGTAGGTTATATGTAATCGATGCCATTTCAAGCTCACTTTGAGTGATTTTTGGTCAAATCATTCATGGTTCATGGTTCATCATTGTGATTAATCCTTTCACATGTCAATTTATCTTTCGTTCTTTTTGCTGTTAGTTTCATGCGCTTCTCCCTGAGCGGCTTTGGTCTGCTCATAGTAATATGTACGTGTACTCAGCGTGCAGCATCGAAGAGTTCAGTTCTCTTGCTGAACTCATCCTAGAACGTATGCGCGCTACCAAATAAGCAGCGTGATCAATTTGTCGCGTCTTTGTGGCTGTGGTATTCAAGTTATTTGAAAGCTTCCATTTTCATTGTAGCAGACCATTTGTGAAATCCCACAAACGACCGACTTGCTTTTTTAGAAAAAGATTGTGTGTGATCTGCAATAGATTGTTCGACTGAAACCCTATTTTGTTTAGGCAAATCCAGGGAACCTTATTGCCGTTGCTGCTGTTGATGCTGCTGCGTTTTTGAAGCGCTCTAACTTGAATATGCAGCAGCTAGGACAGGTATACACAGCGTAATCACACAGTAAATCAAAGAATGGTTTTCGTTTCGTTCAGATCTGGGAACTCGCTGATTACCAAAGAAAAGGAGCACTTGATAAAAAAGGGTTTTTTATAGCCTTCAAGCTTGTTGCGGCTGCTCAGCAAGGTTGTTTGATATAATTAGTCTCTCTATGCCTGACTTCATTTTCTTGAATTTCTTATCTTAGGGCTTGCTGTATCACCTATTTCCATCACGGCTAGCGGCTTGAATCTGCCTCATTTCGAGGGTGTTATCGTGAGACCCCCAATGACTCAGCGTCCGTCGATCGACGTTAGAACTCCTCTGAGCCAGCGTCCGTCAATCGACGCTACATCTTCCGGCCCCAGCGAATGGTGTATAAATGCTGCTGACCAGGTGAGTACCTGGCTTGAAGTCATCTTTACTTCATTACCATTTATTCAGATTAGATTCGTGACAAAATATCGATGAGTTCAGGTCAAGTATGATACAATTTTCGATTCATTATCACCAGTCGATGGGAAGTTACCTGGAGCAAAAGTCCGACCAGTGCTGTTGAACTCTGGGTTGAACCCCACGATTCTCGCCAAAATTTGGGAATTAGCAGATCAAGATAAGGATGGTCAACTTGATCGTATAGAAATGAGTGTCGCAATGCATCTCGTTTATAAGTATGTTTCGCTGTACGCTATGATTCTTCTTACAATCCATTTTAGAGCCCTCCAAAATGAGCCTGTTCCCGCAGTTTTGCCCGCTTCTCTAATTCATCCTTCGAAGGCCATGTTATCAAGACGAACATCTGCAGCTTCTCTATCTGGTATGACTGGAAGTATACCACCACCAGTTCCAATGCCACCGCACCCGCACTTCCAAGCCGGTCAGGCAAGTAAGCTGGTAATCCTTTTTGAACTTCATCCCATTGTATAGGTGTATCGCGTAGTCAACCTAAGATTTAGGTTGGAAACGTAGGGCATTTTTTGTGTTCGAAATCTTCAGCTTTGTGGTGAAATGGTACCAGTTTCGGTTGTTCTTACAGCAATATTTAATTCACCTTGATTGTAGGTTATCGATCGCGCGCTGGAAGTATGACTTCTTTGGATAGCATCGGACATTCCTCAAAGCCATCGCAGTTCGAAAACAGAAGCGCATCGGTGCAGCCAAATCAGATCCCAAGGAATGAAAGTGCGGTTAGTGTTAATGTGGGCTACTGTTCTGGCTTTATTTACAACGAAGGAATAACAAAATCAATGAGAGCTGCAGAAAAAGAATGATTTCGGTCCCCTCAGGATTATGTAACAAAACTGAAATCGGTGCCGATAGGACATATTAGTAAATTGCCACGAAACGTCGATCTTGAAACAAAAGCAGTCCACGTCTTTATTTTAGAGATATGTACAATATTTCCATTGTCGCAATATGGTGCAACAACTTAGCGCTTCGCAAAACGCAATCTTGTATTCACAGCCAATAATCTCATCTTCAAAATGACGGTCACATCTTACAGCGCTTAGCAAAACACGAACGTGCAACGTCACAACAGTGTTCTGCGTCGAATAAGAAACGAGCTATTGGCATTGCGCTAGACCCCTGTTGTCACTATTGTTAGTGAAGCCGTCATCTTCAGCCTGCTACTCCTGTTCGTGGAATGATTGCGCCTATGTCAATGTCTGTTGCTAGTAGCAGTAATTGCTCGCTTGAGTGGCCCGTCGACAGATTGTCTTCGGCTGCCCAGTTCGCTGCTTGTGACACTGATTCGGACGGCTTCGTTAGTGGGAATGATGTCAAGCATGTTCTGCTCAATTCAGGTGAAGATTATTTAGTCATTATTGTTGTCTAAATTCAAAATCAAGCATCGCTTTTGATGTACGCGTTGTAGGTCTGCCACAGAGTGAACTTGCGCAAGTGTGGGCACTGTCGGATATCAATCAAACTGGAAGACTCAATCAGGAGCAGTTTGCACTCATGTAAGTATTATCCTGTGTTCGGCTTTGCTTTTTCAATATTTTCAGTTTTGGTCTTCGCTGGTTTTTACAATCACCGATCACGTTCTAAAACAGCTTCATTCTCTATGATTATATTGGTATTTTGCACTTCAGAATACATCTTGTAAACATGCGAAAGCGTGGAGAGGACTTGCCCTCAGCTCTACCACCATTTCTCATTCCACCTTCACTTCGTGCACTCTCTGTTCCGGTATGTATTCTTTTGAACATGTAAAGTTAAGAGAATATTGATTAAACATCTTTTATTTGACAAAAATCTCTCTCTGAAGGAAAATGGACACATTAACGACAGCAACGTTAACACGAGCAGTTTGAGCGCGGGCGACTCTGAAGAAATGCGAAAAATAACGGAGGAAATGGAAAAACTGCTTGCGGACAGAAGGTGAGCTTGCGTGACTTTTTTCAATCAAGACACCAGCCAGAATTTTTATCTCTAGGGAAGCCGATGCTCAGGTTTCACAGTTGGAAGCAGACATGAAAGTCAAGGATAGTCAAATCAAGAATCTGCAGGTATCTAACAGTACAAATGCTTAGCTTTTCAAAAATTATGTGCGAAATTCAGGTGGAGCTTCGCACTTTGGAAGTCACTGTGAAGCAATTGGAAAGACAAAAAGCGGAAGCTGGGCGCCGTCTCGCTGATCTGGATGAACAAATTAAGCAGTTAGAGTCAGCTGCTTTAGCTCAAGCGAAAAAAGCAGAGGAGGCGCAAACTAGATTGAATCAGCTTGTGAAAGACACACAGAAGGATGCAGCTCATGCTGAGGTGATGATTTACAGTTTTGCTTGCTATCGCCTCTATTTCTCTTTGTACTATAGCTAGATGAGCACAATACAAGCAAAAAACAACTTATCAACAAAAACATGTTGTAGCTCAACTGAAGCTAATCAAAGTTTGTAACATCCTTTAGATCAACAATCAACAAATCAGAGAGTATCGTCATATTTGATGAAATGAGGGGCTGCGTACGTAGCATTAAGCGATTTCTTTGTGATGCTATGCGTAGCAGGACGCCAGCTCACTTTCTTGCTTCTTGGCTACAAATAACCAGACGCTTTTATGAATTTCGAGCAGGCTGTCTCATAACTTAACATTTTGGGTCTTTCGCGCAGTCATTTACAGACGAAAAAGCGAAAGTGTATCTCAACTCATTTTCTGATATTCAAATTCCTAGTAAAACGCTCACGTTTGGATGTGCTACCGCATTATAAATGACCAGCTTTTTTAATGATGGGTTTGAAAAAACTCTTGTTTTTAGTTATCATTATTGCAGGCCGATCAGCAAGAAATAGCTCAACTCAAGGCAGAGTTAGCTCAGCTTGAAACGGAGCGTCTCACATTGTCCAGTCAGCTTGCAAATGAACAGAAAGGGATGGAATCTGCTGTTGACAAGTTAACTGATGTGAGTAAGGTTGCTTGCTGTTTTGTGTGAAACTGATTAAAACATTATATTTTGAGATTGAGCGTAAACGACAACGTGATGAAGCGCAGCGTGCGCAACTTCATGATGCGATTGCCCATGCGACAACGGCTGTCAGTGATCTTGAAACGGTGCTGAAATCAAGTGATCCCTCGGCTGCATTGTCCAGCAAACTCAACTTGTTGGAGGACATTTCGAGGAAGGATTTGGTACGGCCGTATGATTGATGTAGATCGGATTGTGAGCCTCTTTGATATACTGTTCAGTTCAATGACGCTCCTTTCGTCACTGCATCTACATCCAACCAAACAACTGGCTTTCAGCAGCCACCAGATCCATTTGCTGGGGTTCAAACTGGTATTTTTCAAACCTTTGGTTCTTGAAAGTTTCCATGAGTGTCATCAAATTCCATGTTTCAAGTTTGTTTTTGAAATTTCATGTTAGTTTCTGAAGCATTCTGCAGTATGCGCCTTTAGCAGCTTACAATTAGGCACTTGCGTTCCAAGAGTCAATTAGAGCTGGGTATTTTTCATTTTCTATTGATTCATGGTGCTAACTTTCGGTATCGGGAGGGAACGAGCGCGCAGAAAAGTATTTCAAATAAGGAACGTTACCGCTCTCGTAATTTTTTTGGATTCTCTCCAATCTTGCGGGCTCAAAACCATGAAATTTTGGGATTCTAGCAAAAAAAAAAGCTCATTTATTTCTTCCCTTAAAGACAGTAGATCGGCAGAATGAGACCCGTGACAAAACAAGGTCACAGGGTAGGAGCCCCCATATGGAACCTATCGGCCAAAGTCCGATCTTTCTCTACCACTTCTAGCCCCCGAAATTTCAACACGGAAGCAGCGCTTATCTCCTGTATTCTCTGGCCCCGCCCACCCCATAGTACTCCATGGGAAATTACTTCTCTGTAAATTGTTCATTTGCTTTTTATCAATTCAATATAGAATTTTTGCTGTTCAAAATGACATAAATATCGATAATAGCGCTGCCCTGAAGCTGATATCGCACCTCAGCGCGACGAGGTGCGAGGAAACCTCTCGACAGGAGATTTCAGACGGCTAGCGTAATTATTTTACCATATGCGACGGCGCTGACGCCAGCTCTGGCGGCTGGGCTGCGGCAGCAGTCGGCTGCCTGGGTACCACTTGCTACGCACCCTCGTCGAAGCAGTCACAATGGAAACATAGATGTTGGAAAGAGGAAGAAATATGCATCGAATACCGACGAGCACTGAGATAACTGCCGAAATTTAGAACCTTTTTTACCGTGTCTAACTTTCGCTATTTTTCAGAATTTTCATTTTAGACTTTTGAAGGTGCTCTAATAACCAACTGATAAGACAAACCTTTTGCAAATTAATACATTCTTTTGCGTCTCTTCAACATGCCTTCTGGAATCACTATATAATTTCTGAAATGACCAAATTTTATATTTGGCTCATTTAAACCTCGCAAAACATCAGACATTGAACAGCTTAGGTACCATTCGATGCATTTTTTTCTCCTCTTTCTGATGGCTACTTTTTCTTCGGAAAACATTCGACTTTTGCAGAGAAAATCGCTGTACTTTCCAATTTTAGGGGTGCGCAAGGCTGTAGTGAAATTTCCAGAATCTATCCGTTTTCACTCCGTAATCGCTCACTTACTTTGTAATACTAGTGATAGTAATAACCATGATTTTAGAACTTCAATGTTCTGAGGGTTTTGCGGTGTTGGTGCAATTATGTGTTACGCGACTTTTTCAAAATTCGGGGGGGGGGGGGGAGACTTTTCATACGATCGGGGACTTCGCACCTACCTCACACTTACATCGCACCTTTCATCCACGTAATGAGTAAGATTCTCCACTACGCCTAGGTGAGGGGGGGGGGGAGGGGGACTTTTCATACGAACGCTCCCCGATCACTTTGACCTTCTAGCGTATGCTAGGGTGTTGGTAATACGTCCAGTTATCGATTACAATGGACTAAAATGAAACGTTTATTATCAAAAATGCGTAAACCAAAGAACATCTTGATTTATCTGTTGTATAAAGCTTATCGGGTTGAAATAGCGTATCATAGTAAAGACCGTCAGGCCACAGCGAATTCATTTTCGCAAACAACTGGCACAATTGTGGCAATGAATAGTTCGCTTTATCGAATCCCATGCCCTCCAATGGGTGTAGTAGATATGTCAAGAGGCGCGATTCCTATTGCCAGATGGGCAGCATATAGCACATGTTTAGTGTTTTATGAAGTTCAGAATTACTTGAAATTTCGAAAGAAATATATTAGGGATTTAGGGACTGTTCATTCTCATCATCTTGAAATCGATTTCAAACAAAATTGTTAAAGGTCAAAAACACATAAAAATGCAGTTAACGGCAATTTTGTAAATATTTCTGTCAGTTTTCTAACAAAAGTTGTCAAACTTATCAAATGGTTACTCCAAACAGCTAGTAAGCCAATGAACTTTGTCCGGCACTTTTTGAATTTTCCCATAGCATGAAACTGGAGTTTTAAGTTGATGACACCCAGAAGAATCGCGCCTCTTGATCGTCTTCCCCCTTCAATATCCCCTATGGGAAGAGCAACACTTCCAGGTCACGCTGAAAGCCCGGAGAGGCATGTGACAATACTCAAATCAGTTCAAAACGTTTGCAAAAGAGACCGAATTATGTCGACTTGAATGCTAAAAAAATCGTAAGTGGAACGATCATAGTGTTATTTTTCACAGCAAAACACTTTTTGAATCCATACAGTATTCAAGTTTTCCAAATTTATCCAAATTCGCGGTACTGCAAAAGCTAATCAAGATGTTTTTTTGGAATGGAGCCAGCAGGCCCTAACCTGGCATGGTGCCAGTTATTACTGAATCTTTGCCAAAAGATGATGTGGAGGCATTCGTATGAAAAGTCCCCCTCCCCCCCCCCTCCTCTCTACAGTATACTAGACGCGGAGGTGTGAGACCTGACACTTAGCCGTAGGTGTTCACACCTCGCACCTCGGAATTGCTCATCGTATGAAAAGTCACTCACCCCAAAATTCAATGCTCTAGTAAAATAATTCAGCAACTATAAAGAGGAAACTGAAAAATGCAAAAATTGCATTAATTCGAAAAAGGTTTGCCTTATCAGTTGGTTATTAGACACCTTCAAAAGTCTAAAATGAAAATTCTGAAAATTAGCGAAACTTAGATATGGTAAAAATAAAGGGTTCTAGTTTTCGGCAATCATCTCAGCGCTCGTCGAAGGGGAGGCGTGCAAGTGGTACCCAGGCAGCCGACTGCTGCCGCAGCCAGCCGCCAGAGCCGGAGTCAGCGCCGTCGCATATGGTAAAATAATTACGCTAGCCGTCTGAAATCTCCTGTCGAGAGGTTTCCTCGCACCTCGTCGCGCTGAGGTGCGATATCAGCCTCAGGGGCAGCGCTATTATCGATATTTATATCATTTTGAACAGCAAAAATTCTATATTGCATTGATAAAAAGCAAATGAACTATTTACAGAGTAGAATTTCCCTAAAGGAAAACTAAATCTTCAAGATGCAAAATAGTATTTACTTATCGTAATTTTTTTTTGCTGGGATTCAAACTCGGAGAAGAACGTACGAGACAAGACGAAAAAAAGTCTGTTGAAATTAGCATTTCAAGACTTAGTGATGTTAAGCGAGCTGAATAAGCCAAAGTAGGCAAATGAATAACTCAAATTAGGTCAGAAACTGAGTAGATCACTGATAAATGTGGAAATGTGTCACGTTTGCTGATATAAAACACTCAGTTTCTGACCTACTTTGACTCATTTATTTGCCTATTTTGGCTTATTCAGCTCGCTTAACATCATTAAGTCTTGAAATGATAATTTCAACAGACTTTTTTCGTCTTGTCTCGTACGTTCTTCTCCGATTTTGAATCCCAGGAAAAATTTCGATAACTAAATACTATTTTGCATCTTGACGATTCTAAGAAATTAGATTGCATAATCGTTTTCTTTTAGGGAAATTCTTCTCTGTAAATTGTTCATTTGCTTTTTATCAATGCAATATAGAATTTTTGCTGTTCAAAATGATATAAATATCGATAATAGCGCTGCCCTGAGGCTGATATCGCACCTCAGCGCGACGAAGTGCGAGGAAACCTCTCGACGGGAGATTTCAGACGGCTAGCGTAATTATTTTACCATATGCGACGGCGCTGACGCCAGCTCTGGCGGCTGGGCTGCGGCAGCAGTCGGCTGCCTGGGTACCACTTGCTACGCACCCTCGTCGAAGCAGTCACAATGGAAACATAGATGTTGGAAAGAGGAAGAAATATGCATCGAATACTGTTCAAATGTTTGTCTATCTTCATTTTGAACAATTTTAGAACAGGTCTAAAAACGGCACGAACTTTCGGACTCACCTAATACAAGTATGAACAAGTCGCTCGCATATTTTTGTAACTCATATAAATAACTTTCAAAAATTTTGCGACCCATTTCGGCGTACCGAGGGGGGCGCATCCCCCTCCCCCCTCGGCATGCCACTGGTACTTGATTACCACTTGTTTAACATTGATTTCAAATTTGACTGCAAAGCAGTTTTTTAAGGAGGTTGCGAATGAAATTCTCACTGAAATTTGTGTGTTTAGGTAGTCGACATTTCCAACCCAGTGGCCTGCTTTATGCTACGACGCAACATTAGTGACTAAACACCGTTGGGGCAAAACCTTTCTTTTGACTTGTGGGGACAAAAAAGCAGAAAAAAATCTCGCAGTCCTCACATGATCCTCTGCAAGAAGACAGCTTTGTCATTGAAACACCTCACATAAGTTCACTCTTTTCAGAAGATCACTTTGCAGATGACGAGCATGCTTTCGAAGTCAGCGTTTTGAGACGAGTATTATTATTACATAAAAAACACAATATGGATATTAAGTCGCAAAATTTTTAAAAGTTACTTCCATGTGATTTAAAAATGTGCAAGTGAGCTGTGTCTACTCGTAAATAGAATAATCTTTTTTTAGAGATTTGAATTAACCTTGTAAAAAGTTTTTTGTCGGTGTCGGCTACACCCCATTTTCCCGGAATTTCGGGATTGCCCTGCAAAAATCTCGGGAAGGATCCCAAAAAATTTGGGGTGCGTGGCCTACGCTACGCACCTTAAAAAAATTTTCATCCCCCTCCATCCGAACGATAATTATGGTTACACGCTTTCTAAAATCTTCATGCATTGTTGTCTTGACTGATTGAGTACTGCCTAGTGACGGTCCGAGATATACGGACCATGCAGGAAAAAAACTAAGAGAGTACAAAATGATTAAGGGAAAGACGAACTGGGACATGCGAAATGATTTTTGTGAAATACGTAACAAAGAATTTGAATGTTCCGCCGAAGGCACAGTTTAAACCTTGATTTTTGGTGTCCATATAACCGTGGTGTAAGTTGCAGGTGATGGTCACCATGCTGATCCCTTTGCTCAAACTGATCCGTTCGCGGCAGCTGCAGCCACAGGTAATTTGAAGCTCTGTAAAAAACGTGATCCTCCTAAATGCATCATTTGTTCAGGGAATTTTGCTGTGCCATTTCCGCAAGATCCTTTTGCTGGAGCAGCTGGAACGGCAGCACCATTTGTGAGTATATTGTCTAGCTCACTGCGAATTTTTAGTTGACTTTTTTCAACAGGAACCTGCGGCAGGAGGGAAGGCTCCACCGCCTCGGCCTGCACCTCCAAAATCTAGCGCACGACAGACGCCTGTGAATGGAGATCCATTTGCGAACACGTAAGATTGCTAAAATCATGCTTACATGATTAGGAGGCTTTGAAATATACGCGTTTATCGGTTAGATACGGTATTAGAGATCAGGCTTCTTCAATGCTGGCGCTGGCATTATAGCTCTTCTGGGGAAAGTGCGATGCAACGCTGATCTAGGAACGATATGTTACATACCCAGTTGTCTTGGTTTAGAGAATCAGGTTCAGTCGAACGCCAAACCCTTCAAAATTGGGAGGATATACTAGGTTTGCTGGTGGCGAAAGATTAAGAAAGTCAAGTAGCAATAATGCAGTAAAATTGAAATTGGTTCTTAGCTAGGGAATCCAAAGGCAATGTACCGTCAGGGTGAGGTGTGATTTTCTTTGCGTTGCAATGGAAGGTCCCAACCAAGCGATTAGTGAAGTTTGAAGCAAAAAAGCAAGTCTGGATAGCTAAAAATTAGTTGACAGTGTACCAGACCCCGCCTCCTCTTTACGGAACCCGCTCACCCACTGCCTTTCTCGCGTGTCCTTCGCACCCTATGTCTCCATCCTTGGTGGGCTATATCTCACAGGCATCTACCAACTCGTATCTTAGTTTACCAAAAAACGTTAGGAAGTACTCAACAACTCAACAGTACTCAACTTCTAAACAGGGAACGATACTTGGTGACCCCGGCCATTCATGATGGTTTGTATATCAAAAAATGCGCCTTTCAACGCTGGTTCGAATACTGTTTTCTATTTCTGCAAAACGAGAAGATGGAGTTTTTTCTTTTCGAAAATGAATTGCGTTATTGCGGAGGGTGAAAATCATAAAAATAAAAATAAAATAATAATAATAATAAAAATTTCGCTCTCCTCTTCAACTGCTAAATATGATTTAGATAGGTATACAACGTTACCTTTCAATATTCTCCTCATTAGCTTCATTCGGTATTAATTATACATTAAACTGGATGATTTTAACTACCTACTCAGACAGTCGACGGCATACCTCCGGAGCAGAAATGGCAGGGCCTCGGGGTCTGCCCAGCGGAGGTTTGCCACTCGTGCTCCGGAGACCTCCCATTTTGTGCTCTGGAGACCTCCCATTTTGTGCTCCGGAGACCTCCCATTTTGTGCTCTGGAGCCCTCCCATTTTGTGCTCTGGAGGTGTTCAAATCTGGCGTACCTCCGGAGCAGAGATTTGCAAGCCCGCCGGAGGGGTCCCATCTGCCTTCTCGTGAAGGACCACCTCGCCCCGCTCTCAATGGTCAATTGGGCCCTCCGCAGCTCTGCCAGATTTTGACTATCCTCCGGAGCTACGGCACCGATTGTCTGAGTAGAGGAGCGCAACTTTTCTACGAAAAAAAGTTCATAACTGCCTTCATATAATCGTTTCGCAGATTTTGAGCACAGATTTAGAATCAGCGTTTCCAGGTGCATTTGAAGGTTTAAGCATTCCAAATGGTCGGGATCACCAGGTATCCTTTCCTTGCAAGCGATCTACGTGGTCATTTTCTCAAAGTCATATCGCTTTCAGTCATTTGTGGATTCAATGCTGCGATTTTCTCGCCAGTTTTTTTTTTGAAAAATTTTCCGTTCAGAAGCACATTCACAGATTGTACAAATCCTGATTCACTCACTATCCTTTACATTGCAAAAATATCGAAGGTGCATTTTTTAGCAGGAAAACGACCAAGAATCGATAAGAAATGGATATTGGATCAGCGCGGCATGAGATGAAATTTGACATAAGCAACTCGAAATAGTTATCGCAAACTTTTCAAAAGCGAAAAATTGTCGAAGATAGAAGTTTTTTTTTTCTTTTGGGAGTGTGTAGGTATGCGGGTGGCGGAGTAGCACGCTATCACTTTTCTTTGCTTTGAATATTTTCATTGATCTTGGAGACTCAAAATACAGAACAAATTGTTTGCTAATCTTGATGTTGCATGCAAACTCTCACATAACTTCTGAGAATCGTTTTGTAAACTTCAAAGGTGGATCTTAAGATATTTTGCGTATATGTCTCAGAAGAAAATCGTATTTGATGAGAAGTGCGGTTTGGAAACCGCAATGGAATTTTTTACAGGGATCCATTTGCTGCTGAATCTACAAATGTACCAGGAGGATTTGCCGACTTTTCTTCCTTTGGCGCTTTCTCGAATTAACATTGTAGCTCAAATATAACATGACTTATAGAAGGATACTCATTGAATCCCGGATAGCGACTTTTTGCGCCATATGTAGTAATTTATTCCTAGGAATCATGATTCAAGCTTTGTATCCATGTTGTAGTCTTGTAGTCATTCACTTGCTTGCTTCCTGCTTAAGCTGTTTATATGTCGATCATTCCTACCACAGAATTAGCAAATACAAGACCAGATTTTAATAAATATTGTAGCAACGAGACACCATGTCACAAAAACACTTTATTTGCACACTTCAACTGATGATTAGTGCCAGAAACAATGCTTATGGTGAATTATCAGCCGTATACTGGGCTGCAGCGCAATAAAACAAATAAGGAAGAACGGCGCTATTTCAGCATCCGGGCCCCAAAACTTTAAAGTCATGTGTTTTGCTCGAACTGTATCTGAGGGGGTTATTTAACATGCTGGTCGCGAACATTATACTCTTCACATGGAAGCGATTTCATGGGGTTACGGAAGGTATTTGGTAAAGGGCCAAAATTACGATTTGCATGAATTTGTTCTAGGGGAGTCATTGGCTTTAGGTTCTAAGTAGGAATCAAAGTCACAGACTTGGCTAAATTCGTACTAGAATTACTCCGCACTCTGGTTAAGGAACTCCAAATCGCCTTCTGCAACAAACGTTATTGTGGTATCATAGTGGTATACCGCAGGTCAAGCTGAAACTTTGCCTAAGCGAGTGGTTTATACGTGCTACTTACGAACATGATACTCGTTAGACTAACGATTTGTGTGGTGTTACAGTGGGATTGAAGCTTTTCTGAAAGCATGCATAGTATTTGTGCGATTTTCAGCCAACTTAGATCCTAGAGAATCCACGAGAAGGTCTCATCATACTCAAAGTTGACACTCAGCATTTCAAAAGACCAAGTCTCAGCTAATTCGTGATCTTGACCTCCCTCGTATCCACCGTAACCACATAAAATGACGGTATTTTGCAAGAAAGAGATAAGAGGGGTTTTTGATCAGCATGTCAAATAATCTTGGCAAAGCGAGTTTACCACTTTGAAATTGGGGCTCGAATAATGAGCAGCGAAAAAGCGTATGCCTACGGTACGGCATCGATCTCATAAAACTTCATCGGATGAAAAAACAACTTGAAAGGATAAAAATAAGTTATCATCGACTAGCAAAAGTTACTGTATGAAAGCCATCGATAACTTGAAAAATCTGATAAACTAAAAAGGGTGAGTAGGGTATATAAATTACTAAAATGGTTTTCACAAATTTGCATCATAGTTGAGCTCTGTAGATGAGCATCCTTGGAGCAAATGGTAAGGAATATGAAAGGGGAGTTTGTATGTAACATTTGCAAAGATGGTCATGGCATATATCTCCAGTGGGTGGCGCCTAGCATTGCCAAAGAAATTCACCGACTGAAGCCTTTGTCGCAAGTCTTTTACTCAGACACTAAGCGATGTGTAGTGACGTGCCTGAGTAGAGCCGCAAAAGTTCCTTGAAGTGCGGTTGCTATGATGGGGAGGACGAGGAAGGACCTTGATGGTAGAATAGTAATGATCGTCTAAATCTTCCATGATTTACCTTAGTTTGATCTCCCATGCGCACTAGAGGACGATGTTCGGAACGCCTCGAGCCGGGGTGGTAATGGACACGATCCCAGCAATTTTCGCAATAGTACTGAAATTTTGATAATTGGAACAGGAATAATTTATCTGCTAGCAAATACTTAGAAGTCTGTCTCACCTGTAGGCAGTCAACATCGCCGCAGAAGTAAGGAGCGTAGCGCGAAGAACACTGCTTTCCTTCACAATGGTCACACATCTGCTCATCCATCACATACGGCTTGATCTCAACCTTGACGGAGCAAGATATTCGATTCAATAACAAAAGTATGGAGAAGCCTACTCTCTTTTGCGATTCTCCATGATGAACGTGAACAAAACGCCCATTGATTGCGGCAATGAAAGCTTGTGTTGTGACAAACGTGACGCGAGCAGCCCCTTTAGGATATTTCAGTTCAGGATCGATGTCTATCCCGACATAACACACAGGGCCATAGAGACGTTCAAGACATTCAGCTAATTCACCTGAATTCCAAAAATTTTGGAGCAAGCACGTGCTTGCGAAGTCTCTAACCGGCTCTTGTGGGACGCGGAACTCCACCAATGAATACCGTGCGTCGAGGATCCATGAGCGTGCGCGGATTCGAAATGAAGTCCATATCGGCTAAACGCCACGGACGAACTTGCACTGGTTTGTCACGCATTGTTGGAGAAGACACAAAGAGGTAATAGCTGAAGATAGTCACTGGAGAGATATGACGAATTTTTTCCAAACACTCAAAAATGAAGGGCATTTTTTTCTTGACCCTCCATGTACTATTGGGAATTCAGTAGTTCATTAAGACTGAGTAGTGAGCTTCATAATCACACCCTATAACACTATACGACTGCGAGCAGTTAAGTCGCAGTCAAAATTATGCAAGTGATTCGTTTTCAATTCCTGAATTCTTGAAAATTCATTTACTTTCATGAAACTTGTTTTTGAGGGCGGAGTCGTCCTCTCCGAACGAGTTCTTAGACCACCACTACCGTACACCTACCGTTCCATGACAAAGACCCTTCAAGCAAAGTATCGTTCGTAATCAGCATGTTAGGTAATCCCTGTGTACCATGTTCGCAAATTTTCTTACTGGCATTTTTTGTCACCTAATAATAAGTGGAATGGTGTCTCCAAAATTGATTGAATCTGTTTAAAGGTTGATTTAAGTCGCTACAATTATAGAGAGCACTACTCATCACCAGTCAACATCATGCATCAAACCCTAATTAACTGCAAGAATTGGAGTTAATGGCCCTGTTAGGATCTCATTTTTCGCTTAAAGTGGTTACGCTTCAGCCACTGTTATTAAGGCACATGAATGTGGATTAGGCTCAAAGCATTTCTGTGGAAACTACAAAATCCAGGCTACTAAATGACGTAAACAACGTCCTTCAAGTATTCGTCCGACAAAATTCATGGGGTGCGCGGTGTGACACCAGGTCAAAAAGATGTGGCTTCGCTTCCACTCAATTTTTTGCTTTGTACGGTGAACGAAATACGTATGATTTGCATGATATTTTGTCGCTTTCTTGTTACGCACTGTAGATGTACGTCGGAATGCGTTGTTACTGTTATTTCAGACTTACCGATCATCCTCCTTGTGGCATTCGCTAACGAGATATTGCACTGAACGTTCCTCCTCAAACACAAGGAAGACATATCCGGTCATCGATCGTGCTACAATACAATTATACATTACAGAAGTGTTCATAGTACCCACATCCTCTTCCTGTATCCTCGTCTCGGGAACTCGAACCATCTGGGCGGCGAGGCCAATCCACAAGCACGTTTCCGAAAACCGAGAAGGTTTGCCAGATTTCATCTCAAAACAGCCGTCTTACTATCAATGAAGGTACCGTGGAAGCTGTATCACCTTCGGTGACATCAATGGGCAAGCCGCCCACGAATACCTTACGAGCGAACACTTCTACATCGTTAGAAAGGAACTGAGAGGCAGGACGTGACGGTGTTCCAAGCAGTCTCCTTGCCGATAGTACGGGCGACTTCGGTACGTCGATTGAGGGCAATATCGAAGCTGAACGATGCTTCAAAACTAACGGTTTTCGTTATCATTTTTTGGGAAAGTTTGAATAGTAATCACATTCATCAATTATGCTCAAGTAAACCTCTTCAAAATGAAATCGCGTAGTCTACGAAAAGCGTTAAAAGAGTCATTGATAAATGCGGCTATGGAATGATCAACTAACAACAAGCGTTAGGAGGCGAACTACCACTCGATGTGCTGTCATTGGAACACAAGCTTGCACTGCCTGACATGCATGGCGGAGATGGTGAGCCTGAATCAATCTGTGCTTAATATTCAGCAACTGCGCTCATAAATAGCTAGGTACTTGGCTTGTTTTCATGATGGACAAAGAGCTTATTGTGCAACGGCAGTTGACTCGCGCCGAGGATTGAAGTTTCAAAAGAGAACACTTTGATTCTGGACTGTTGAGCGTGCTTAAATGCAGTGTCCGGTCAAAATTAGATTTTAACATTCTGTGCTTACCTGTGCCTACTCGCTATGATGAATCCAAAGATCAACACCTGGAGAGCGCGAAAATGATGAAGAAGGGCTCTAACGCAGGAAGGAAATCGCAGGTGCGGGCTGTTTACACTGTGACATCACTCTCCCAGTTTCGGGAGCGATCTTCTCGCTTCCGCTAGTTGCCCTAACATCGCCACCAGCCAACTGCGAACACGTGGCTCAAAATAGAACCGACAAGATTGCTCCTGAAGCTGGGAGAACGACGTCACGGTGTGAACAGCCCGCCTACCTGCGACTTCCTTCCTGCGTTAGAGCCCTTTTTCGCCGTTTTCGTGCTGCCCAGTGTGAATTTTTGGATTCAGCATAGCGAATAGGCTCAGATAAGCACAAAATCTCAAAATCTACTTTTTATCCGGACACTGCCCTCAAAATGTCCCAAACCCAATTCACTCTACGTGTTTGAGAACCCCTAAAACCGGGCACAATTACGATCTTGCGGAGACGGCAACCTCAGTTAGTAGTCGAAGCAGTCTCTAACAGTGTTTCTTTACTTGTAGCACCTCCTCATAACAAGCACTCTAAAAGCGATATCCGCCGAATGTGGTCTTTTTTTTTCGAATCGTTTGCTAACGGCGCGTTGAGGACTTCATCATTAAATTTGGTACGCCCGCGTACGCGTTCGCGTTGAGTAGCCATCATCGTCTGAGGCTAGCCTTTATTTGCCAAATAAACTTGCTACTTTGGCTTAAAGTTTGGGTAGGAATTTTCAATAAAAGTGTAGTTGCTTTATGCTCGAAACTCGTACAGAGTGCACGTCTTTGCTTCCAACAGCAGCTAGAGCTACAAAATTTGACTACAAACAGTCGCTGCCGACATGCTTTAGCATACAAGTCTTTTCTGGGACTCAAAAAAGCAAAAGCAAAAGAGAAATTCAGCCACTTTACAAAGGGGAGCATTTGTTCATGTAATTATGCCAAAAATGAGGATATTCGTAGTTTGATTATACGATAGGAAGTATCGTATAATCAAACTACGAATATCCTCATTTTTGGCGTAAATATTTTGGCATTTTTGGCTCTTCTTTATGAAGGTACTAGCTGGCTTACCCGGCTCCGCCGTATGTTCCGAATAGAAAATTCCATTTCTTAACCGATCCGGACCATACACTTTGGGCCCCGGCGGGTGTCATAAACTACTTTTCGTCATCGATCGATATCGATTTTATCGATTTTTTGCAAAATTGGAGCTACAGGGCTGGAATTTGGTAGAGGGGTGTAATCGAGCATGCTGATCACCTCCACGGGGGTGATCAGCATGCTCGATTACACCCCTCTACCAAGACATACAGACATACAGACAGACCTACAAACAGACATTCAGCTTTATATATAAGATTATGGGTTGCGTCCCTCTGCAATTTTGCAGAGCTGTGAAAACAAACAGGCGGCAATCACACTACGATCTAATACAGAGATTGTATTCCTAGTATTGTTTTGCCAGTACGAGGTTTTGATAAATTAGTGGCCTAAGTTCTGACTACTCGTCTTCAGAGGCCCAAAGCGGTGCGGAGTAGAGATATCATGTCTGCCCCACCAAGCGCTTTATCCACCCTCGGTTAGGTTCTCGATCCAGCCTCGAGTTTTACAAGCAAAATTCGCAAGATGGGAAAGAAGGCACGCCTTTCCTCCACTGCCGGTGCACTTGACGGTAGATGCGACCGCTTCTTTGATGATAGTAGTGCCAAGCCACATTGAGCAGCTCATTGTAAATGCAAAGCGTTCAATACTGGCTTACGAAGAAGATAACCTGCGCGGAAAGCTCTCGAAGCATTGTGGATCACGCGCAGAAAACCGCTTATCTTATATATAAAGCTGAATGTCTGTTTGTCTGTATGTCTGTCTGTATGTATGTGTGTACGTATGTTCCGAATAGAAAATTCCATTTCTGAACCGATCGGGACCAAACTTGGCACACATACACTTCGGGCCCCGGCGGGTGTCATAGGCTACTTTTCGTCATCGATCGATATCGATTTTATCGATTTTTATCGATTTTTTTGCTGAGTTCACCTACGGGGCTGGGAGTTGGCACAGGGGGGTAATCGAGCATGGGGATTCCGAATACAATATTGGTTTTCAGGATTATCGATTACTTTTATCGATTTTATCGATTTTTTTGCAAAGTTTGAGCTACGGGGCTGGGAGTTGGCACAGGGGGGTAATCGAGCATGGGGATTCCGAATACAATATTGGTTTTCAGGATTATCGATTACTTTTATCGATTTTATCGATTTTTTTGCAAAGTTTGAGCTACGGGGCTGGGAGTTGGCACAGGGGGGTAATCGAGCATGGGGATTCCGAATACAATATTTGTTTTCAGGATTATCGATTACTTTTATCGATTTTATCGATTTTTTGCAAAGTTTGAGCTAGGGGGCTGGGAGTTGGCACAGGGGGGTAATCGAGCATGCTGATCATCCCCAAGGGGGGTGATCAGCATGCTCGAACACCCCTGTGCCAAATTCCAGCCCCTTAGCTCAAATTTTCAAAAAATCGATAAAATCGATAAAAGTAATGGACGATCTTGAAAACTAATATTGTATTCGTAATCTGCATGCTCGATTACCCTCTGTGCAAACTCCCAGCCCCGCAGGTCAAACTTTGCTAAAAAATCGATAAAATCGATAAAAGTAATGGACGATCCTGAAAACTAATATTGTATTCGGAATCCCCATGCTCACTTCCCCCCTGTGCCAACTCCTAGCCCTGTAGGTGAACTCTGCCAAAAAATCGATAAAATCAATAAAAGCAATCGATAATTCCGAAAACTAATATTGTATTCGGAATCCCCATGCTCACTTCCCCCCTGTGCCAACTCCTAGCCCTGTAGGTGAATTCTGCAAAAAAATCGATAAAAATCGGTAAAATCGACATCGATCGATAACGAAAAGTGGACTGTGACACCCGCCGGGGCCCGAAGTGTATGTGTGCCAAGTTTGGTCCGGATACGGCGGAGCCGGGTAAGCCAGCTAGTGATCAATAGAACCGAGTGTAGCCGTTACGAACCTCGCCGCCGATGACTTCAAACCGCTTTTATCAATCTGTGAGCTACAATAGGGTGATGCTATATTCATTTACAATGAGCTGCTCAATGTGGCTATAAACGTTCTCGATTAAAAAGAATGCCAGACCGGTAGTAATTCCCCCTACCAGGCGGCAGATTTCACCTCTCCCCTCATTTCGAAGTGAGGCTCGCAAAGACTCCGAACTCGAGATCAAACTTTAGAAACCTCTTCAACAAAAACTTAGCTGGGAAGGTCAAAATGATCTCGAGGAAGACCACATCGCAATTTGAATTTTTGAGAACTCCCTAGTCGTAAACGGCAGGATATGTCTGTGGCCCTTCCGACATATCTTCCGGTTCAAATGAGAGAGCATAGTATGCTCTTTTGAGAGGGGAAGGTGCCTGCAAATCGACTAGCCCCCACCATATCCAGATACCGAGCGCCTATGAGTTTGAGTTTTGCGGCAATTTCACGCAGTTTACGTCTCGGCTGACAAATCTGAAAAAATTAGTTCCTTTTGAAAACTACCCTTATACGTTTTTTTAGGTTTTCCCTCCTTGATGTGATGCTATATACAAAAAATCAGTATTATCGGTAAACATCGTTCTTTCACATTTCATGTGGAATCGTTTGGAACCATTGTCCATGTCGATCAGCTGTTTTTCCAAAGTTAAAGCTTATCATGCAGTGTATTGATCATGGGCTCTTATAGGCGGCATTTACCTGAGAATTTCTGTTATTGCTCTGCAAACCGCAATTGACCGCGTGGTTGGTTGACTAGCGTACCCAAGCTCGAAGTCGAGGGTTGAAGGTCCGAACGTGTGCGTTCTGAATCTTTTGCGACGCCCCGCGTCGCCAAAATTCATATAAGAAGTGACTGCTTAAGATTATGACTTATCGAAATCTATGAGTCTGTGAGCTAACGCCGCTGTCCGCCAAGTAGGGTAGATTACAACCAACTCAGTTTCCTTCCAGACATGAGCGTAAATTGGAGGTTAAGCGGTCTGCTCTTGCTTGTATGCAGACTTGCTCTCCGCCCCCACCCCCTCCCCACTAGAAATGCCTGAATGTCAAGCAGGTTTGCAATGATGCCCTCCCAAAATGTCTTTGAATAGACGGCGCGAGTCATCATCCGCTACAACACAATCACAGGAGTTTTTTGCTTGATTGTACGCAAACAGTTGATTACCAGGTACTGCCTACGTTTGAAAAACACATTTCCACCTCCAGCTGCAAGCAGCATTGGCAGTGGATCTTCAGGAAGTCCATAACGTGGCGTCATGAGTGCGGAAGCAGGATGGTTGTTGCATGGATACCCAAACAAATTGGCATGTGTAGCTAGAGGTCGATTGATGCCACCGAGCAGTCTCTCAGAGCCAAACATCGGATTGTAAGCCTAAATACTAGTGTTAACGACGGGTATCAAGTGCTATCATCAGTATATTCTATGGGCATGTTTGCGACCATTTGAATATAACAAGGATAGGATACTTGATGACCCCAGCCATTTGGAATGCGATGTGCACCATAAGGTGCACCTCGAAATGCTGATTCTGAATCTGTGCTTGAAATCTGCGAAACAATCATATGAAGGCAGTCATGCATTTTTTCTTAGAAAATTTGCGTACTTTTAGGTAGTTAAAATCATCCAGTTCGATCTATTTTACCGTTTGAAGCTACTGAGGAAAATCCTGAAAGGTGTAACATTGTATTTATACCTATCTAAATCATATTTAGCATTTGAAGAGGAAAGCAAAAATTTTTTCTAATGATTTTCACCCACCGCAGTAGCGCAATTCATTTTTAAAAAAATAAATATAACTCCATCCAGGTTCTCGTTTCGCAGATATGGAAAACAGTATTCGAACCAGAATTAAAAGGGCATTTTTTGATATACAAACCATTACGAATGGCCGGGGTCACCAAGTATCGTTCGCTGCCAAGAGCAGTTTCGCTCTTTTTGTAAGATGAGAACCAAAAACCGAATTTGTTATATTATACCGATGCTTTCAAGAATAAACGAGACCTGCGAAGCCATGTTTTCGTCCAACAGAGAGGAATGACTCGAAATTGCTGTGGATTGTTCAGCAGCAAATGGTTGCATCTGCAAGCTGAGGGCGGCCAACTGTAAAATATTTTCGTTATTGAGAATGTTTCAGTGGTTGCTTGTATCATTTGTTTCCCTTGTGAGGAGAGTGAAGACAAATATGGATAAAATTGTTTACTTTGTTTCTATAGCAAGCTCTGGTAGTTTCAAAATGGTGACAAGACGAAACTAAAAAGTGGCTTTTAGGACATCTTTTGCAGGCAACCGTTGGACAATATGACGGTCTGAGTTGCAGTTGCGCGATAGGTTCCAAACCAGGAGGCAAATGCACAAGGCATCATGGTGGCGAAAGTTACCCCGAAAATTGGGCCAGTCCTCTTGGCAATGTCCTTTCTCCATCACTGATGAGAAAGTACAAAAAGCAGAAATGTTTACTTCGAGTATTTAGTGATTTATATCTTGCACTGGCAGAATGATGAATAGAGCGCAGAAAGCGCGCATCGTAGGGAATTGGCAAATTCGTGGCAGGATTCAAAGGTTCAAAGGCACAGTCCACCCATATTCTAGACTTCCAGTTTTGGTTGTTCCAAGGCCTTTTCATGCCCCTGGTTCCGAACATGAAGTCGAGAATCCGCGAAAACTGCGACGATCCCCTTTCCGGAGTGCCCGCGGGCCGGTTCTCCGAAGCGATGATTCTGTAGGGGTTCAGAAATGGGCGGGCATTACTGGAGAGTGCGGTGCCGACTTAGGTTCCTCATGCCTCTTCGTTATTCTGAAGCGATTTTCACGCTTCCAAACGACATTCTGCCCTGCGACTTGGGCATTGGCTTGATCAGGGGTCCTATTATCGTAAGCTGCATTATCGTAAGCTGCCAGAAGGTCAGACCCCTGCCTGAGATAGACGGTGCCTTTAAGCTTGGCGAAAGGGCATGTCCGCACCGAACTACTCGCTGGAGCCTTATTAGCGATGCAAAAGGATGGAGATGCTATCCTCGACATCATGCTATCCTTTACATGAAGCTTGAAAGTTTATGAAGCGGTCAGAGTGACCGACTGCGAGAATTTTGAAGTGCCAAAAAAATGAAAAAATAAGAACTTCAAGGAAGTGCCAGAACTCGACACGCTGTTGACCTTGACCAAATTACAACGTGCCTCGAAAATTTTCGTAAGCATGGTTTTAGTTAGTTTGCAACGAATGAGCGAACAGAGTTGACTCCAGCGATTAACTCTGTGGGTGGTCTGAAGAGCAGGCGAATGCTCCACTGAATGGAATCGGAATACTGGAACCAGTAGTTACACACTCTATACCAATACAGCATTGATGATCAATGAATCAGTAAAATCTACTGCACAAATATTCCATTCGAAATAAAAGTAATTCAAAACTAACCTGAGAGTGTAAATCACCCAGCGGAAGACCCATGCTAGCAGCCATGTGCATTTTTGTGTGCGAATCAGCAGGCCTGAAAAAAAGCCTTGCTCATTGAAAAAGTTGTTGGCAAGGCATACTTGGGCTAATGGACGAAAATTTCTTTTGTACAATGTATCTAAAAGTGGTCAAATGAGGAGGCTGAGAAGAAGGATAACCGTGCTGAAAAACAAAGAATGAAAAGTGAGTATCAGGAATTTTCAAGCAAGGCTGCTTATCATTTGGTTTCAGATGATAAATGCAGATAAGGCTCTTTAGGATGACAACAGCCATATTGAAAACAGACAAAATATGAAGCATTGGAGGAGAGCTCCGGGCCAAGTTTACAGCAGATGTCAATATGATTTGTTATCTGTTTTATACTGCTTTATATAGGGTCGATGAACACGTTGCCTTCCTCAAACATGAATGCTTCCTGTAAATTCTGGCCAATGATGATAGCAAGAAGTACTGGCTTTTCTCTATTCATGCCTTACAAAATGGAAATTTGTTACCTTGATATCTTATGGATAATTTCGCTTTTTTTCCAAGAAAAAATGAGGAAATCGCAGGCTAGAGCTGCCCAACATCTTGTGGATATCTTACAGCTTCATCCGTCAGCAGCACTTATAGCTCGGTTCTTTAGATCCAAGAATATGCGATCTCCACTAAACTGCAGGAAGGTTGGGTACCACACACCATTCGAAGTCCTTTAGAGTTCTTATGAACGATCCTTGGAAGTGGACAATGAGAGAACCTCCCTGCCCGAAAATGGCGAATCTTCTTGTAGTGCAGAAAACATAATATCGAGCTTGCAAAAATTCTGATTAGTAGATTTGATCGCGGATTTTCAGTGCTATTATAAGGATCTAAGGGTGAATGATTTGCGAGGTGGAGTCGCACTGACATTCTGATCACTTCGAAGGCTCATTTTTGAGACAGAAAAGGGAGCGCAAGCGAACATGTATCTTTCTCGTTTGCTGCCGCTGCTGCCGCAGAAACACCACACTTATTTGAGATTGTGTATCAATTCACGGTGATTAAAAGAAATCGAATCTGGGAAAATATTTTGACGATGGTCCTAATGTGGCATTCTAACTAGCTCCAAAAGGCTGCCTCAAAGCCATCAGTTGCTCATTTTTTACTTAACAGATAATTTTATCGGAGGAGATGAGAAAAGCACGAGTCGATTCAATTAAACTTCTCTGCTTACCCATGGTGTCCAAGAGCATATCTCTACTCATTCATGGAGAAAAGTGGAAAGAACACTTTGCAGAAAAATAATCATTATTGCTTATCTTCACAAATCCTATTCCAGTTTCCCAAAGACCACATCATGAGTTGGTCCTCCAACTATTTTTTTGAATACCAGCTCGATATTATTCTTTTTCTGTATTTCGCTTAGACTTTTTGTGAACATTATCCCTAGTACTCGATATTTGTGAATGTCTACTGGTGGTGTCTAATGGTCGTCTACTCAGCGAGGCCTTTTGCCGATATCCATCTCGAAATAGTGTGAACATTTCTTAAGTCTCTTTAGTGAAATGGTGGTTGCCTAATGAGGACGACCGCAGGTTCTATGAGGCTTCTTCTTACTGTCAAGTATTATCCATTCTTGACCGCATTGCGAGCTGAAAAACGCTTGCCCCAATACAAATCGCCATTGTACAAGTCGTGCTCTCGCGACATTTTAGCCGCGCGTGGTCCGCAACGTTTGAACGGTGCGTGTGGTCTACGCAACGACGGTACAAGATGTCAGAAGCATAGACATATACACTGTTTGGTCAATAATACCTCCTTGTCTAGAATTTTTCTTATTATTTTTGAAAGCTGATTTAATCTTCCGAATGTACGGTATGGAAGGTTGACCGACCTTTCTTCATTACTTAGAATTACGGTAGGAAACTGCAGGCGGCCTTTATATCAATGAATAGTATTTCTGCTCTAAAAGTTTCAAAAAATGTGGGAACATGGTAATTGTTTAATCACTTCTAAGAATTGCGAGAAGTCACCGATTAGTAGATAGCATGTGGAAAACTCCGTTGCATACGTGCGGCTTTCCAGTCTTATTAGAATGAAGGCAAATAACTTTGATGTACCGAGAGTTTCTCTGTAGTCCCACATCAATAAAAAGTAGTTAGCAGTAGCGGTCGCAGGATTTCGGTCTGGGGGGGGGGGGGTTAAGAAAATTTTCAGATGAAGGTGCGTGGCATAGGCCAGCACTCCAAAAAATCTTTAGGGGTGCTTCGTAAGATATTTGCGGGCCCATAACCCTAAAATATAGAAAAAGGGGGCGTGGCGGTAGCCACGCAATTTTTTTTACAAGAGATTTTCAAAATTTTCCAGAGAATGTTTTAATTAATTACAAGTATGAAAACAAGTCACTTGCACATTTCTATAACGCATGTAAATAAATTTCAAAAATTTCGCGGCCTTATAACGACAAGTGACGCGTTCAATACTGCGTATGTTACAGCAAAACGAGAGCAAGCAAAAATCATCAGCCAATCGTCTTTTTTCGTTCGCAACAGCTACAAAAAACCCAAAAAAAAAAACGGGAAGTCGGCATACTCGCGCGCGAGGAGGGCTCAAATACTCTTTTGATTTGCTCGCAAAAACTTTTATGCAGCAAAAACAACTTAAATTCTCTCTAGCCATTGAATAATCTCTGACGTATGGGCCTAATCATGGCTATGTCAAAATAGGTCTCGAAGGAGATTTTGCAGAACTCTCTTAATCTTGTTTTTTCCTTCATTTGACTATTCCGCATGGCATACTGTACTTATGATAGCCATAATCGCGCTTAATCTAGCAAAATTCTATTTGTTAAAAGTTGTTGGAAAGAGTTATAACATCATAAGTCAAAAAATCTGCATCGGACAGAACATTTGATACCATAGTACGACAAACAACGAAATCAACATATTTCAAGTGTTAAATGGGTGGTGCACGCATCCCATTTGATGTAGGCTGTGTAAAAGCTATTTTACTTGCTCACAACTAGGAGATTCTTAACTCTCATGAGGAATTGGTCAGCTTCATGAAATCTTCTCTTGGAGTAATGGACTTCGTATTTCAAAAAAATACTGATTATGCGGAAATTATCATAAGGAAGCAGTCAACAATGTAAATATGTAAAAACTTTGACAAGGAATTTCTGTTTCAAATCCTGAAATCATGCTGATCATCGATGACGTAAACTGAGGCATTAGTTACGGATAAGGAATGCGGTGTACGACGTTTTGGGAGAAGGTTTGGAAAATCATGTCCCGGAGCATCTAAATGCAAAACCCATGGTACGCTTGAGCTGCTCCTCAGACAGTCGAAGGGATACCTCTGGCGGGCAAATGGCGCGAGTCTGCCACTTCGCGCTCTAGAGCGCTCCGGAGCCCTGCCATTTCACCCATTTTGGTGCTCCGGGGCTCTCCCAAAACTGGCGCACCTCCGGAGCAGAGATTTGCGCGTCCCGGAGAAGGGTCCCATTCGTACATCGTGACGTCATCATTACGTTATAGTGACGTCACAAGCAGGCGAATGGGACCCCTCTCCGGGACGCGCAAATCTCTGCTCCGGAGGTGCGCTAGTTCTGGGAGAGCCCCGGAGCACCAAAATGGGTGAAATGGCTGGGCTCCAGAGCGCTCCAGAGCGCGAAGTGGCAGACTCGCGCCTTGCCCGCCGGAGCTACGACTGTCTGAGTCAGACAGTCGAAGGGATACCTCCGGAGGGCAAATGGCGGGGGTCTGCCACTTCGTGCCCCGGAGCCCTTCCATCCATTTTGGTGCTCCAGGACTCCTCCAAATCTGGCGCACCCCCGGAGCAGAGATTTGCGAGCCCCGGGGAGGGGTCCCATTCGCCTTCTTGTGACGTCACGGTGACGTCGCGCAAATCTCTGCTCCGGGGGTGCGCCAGATTTGGAGGAGCGCCGGAGCACCAAAATGGGCGAAATGGGAGGGCTCCGCAGCACGAGTGGCAAACCCCCGCTGGGCAGAGCCCGGGACCCTCCCATTTTCGCTCCGGAGGTATCCCTTCGACTGTCTAAGCACGACCACATAATGTTGTCATGATCAGTTCAATATAGCTGGATGGGCAGGGGGAAAGCAATTAACATCATTTTTTATGAAGGCTACCCATCGAATTTCGCTAGGAGATTTCTTTTCCCTTGTTTAAACTATCGTGCATCCTACAAACATAAAAAATCTGTGCACATAGAAGATGTTTCAGAGATGGTGACGCAGCATTCGGGATTACAGCTATTCCTACCTACAAGGGAAGGATGCGAACCGCACTGGCGAGCTAAGAGCTGATGTAGCATCCCCAGAACGGTGATTCTGACCCTGGTTTCCATTTGAAGCAAAACTCTGGAAAATTTTGAGCGGTTGGAGGTTCGAACTCATCAGGCCTTAACTGGGGTAGTTTCAGCAAAAAGTGTACAAAAATGGTTATGTTCAAATAGGAGTCAAAAGAGTAGAGTGATCTGTATGAGTTGGTTTGGCAGTCGTGGGATATTTCGAGTGGTGAGTGGAACGCGCATCTGAAGTATCGTTCATTCGTTGACCGTACGGACTGCCGACCGCGTGGCGACTGCGACGCGTGCCTTCTAAACTTGCGAAAAAGTGACAAGTTGGACCGTGGCTTAAGATGGGAAGAATTCTTTGTTTCTTTTCTACATTATAAAGATGAGAAGAATCCTCTGTTTTCTTTCTATTCATCTTTTCTACGAAAACATCATGCACGCGCAGCGGTCGCCGCGCGGTCAGCAGTCGTTACGGTTAACGAATAAACGATACTTAATCTCTGTGAGAAGCCTATCATTTAGAATTGTTTTCAAAGAATTATTACAAAAACCATAGATTCCCTGAGAAAAACACAAGTTTTAAGAACTCTCTCGAAGGACATGACTAATAGCCACTCCGTTTATAAAGTCCAAAGCGAACCAGCTCCCAAAAAAATTTTTTTGTTAGAATTAGCCACACACCAGTTACAGCGTAAGTAGAACACCACACTGTGAGGGGTGCGTAGCAAGTGGTACCCAGGCAGCCGACTGCAGCCGCAGCCAGCCGCCAGAGCTGCCGGCAAAGCCGCTGCAGATGGTACAGTAATTACGTTCGTCGTCTAAAACTCTCGCCGAGAGGTTTTCTCGCACCTCGTCGCTCTGAGGTGCGAAATCAGCCTCAGGAAAACGTGATATCCTAATACCTATATTATTTTGAATAGGAGAAAATTCATGTTTTTGAGAAACATACAAATAAACAAAGGTAAACAGGGGAGAGGTTTCTTGAAGGAAAATGTCACAAAATCAAATCACTTCAAAAACTCAATGGTAGCAGAAGCTGAAAAGTTCAGAAATTTCTCAAAATTCTAGAGATTTTTTTTCGCTTTTATAGAACGGACGAAGACAATTACAGGAAAATGTCATGGATGTGATGGTAAGAAAACTCTGTCAAAATGACTATCATAACTTATAATAACGGGCTAAGGTTGTTTACGTGTTTTTGCGTGTGTGTGTGTAAGTCTGTCTGTCTGTCACGAAATTCGTAGGACGTGTTTCAGCCAACCTCCTGAGCCCAAATTTTGCACAGCACATGCTACCTACATGGGATTCCACTATACAAAAGCACGAGCGGATCCGTTGCGTGGATCCCACAAAAAATGCGCCTTTAACGGATCCACTTGGTTTTTGGCCAGTAAAATTGAGCGTGTAGCACGACTTTTTGCAAAATTAAGGATAGTTTCACAAGTTAGTATGCAAGCCATGGACTTTAGCCTAAAAAATTGAACCAAAGTTCATTACTTCGCAAAACGGCGCAAAAATGTATAGGTTGCGTAAACGTTCAATTTGCCAAGGTTTTACCCGATCATTTGAGAAGATTTTTGCACAGAGATGCGGCCCACGTTGGTTATTGCATCTTATGGCGAATACCAAGCTGTGAAAAGTCCAAAAACCGATTCAAATCTGCATTTGTTCTTATGGCAAAAGTTTCGTTCATGCGAAATTACCGATCTCATATGAAAAAGCTTTCGGAATGAATAGTTGTTTACAAGTCATTCGTGATAGTCCGCATAGCGCGGTGAGTCTCAATGTCACTATTGTGCGGGATTGAGTGCGTACAGATAGTAGGACCAGTGCGAGCCTCTGCGAAGCAGAGGTGACGGGAAGGGACGCAGGAGTTCTTAGCACCTCCATTCGCACCAGCATTCACACTCCAGAAGGCTCCTCGCGCCTTCGCGCAACAGAGGTCAAACCCCGCCCTCGCTCCACTTCTTCACTGGTCTCATTCGAAGGTTGCGGGAATAGTATGGGCATGCAACGAAAATTCATGAAAAATTCTCATCTTGCCAAATCTCTTGCCTAAACCTAACTTTTGCATCGACCTATATAGTAGATCAGAATCGTTTTGGCATGCTAACAGAAAATTTACAAAAATTTCAGCGGATATTCGGGTAAAATTAATTGCAAAAGTATCAACAAATCTCTCCAGAAAAAGGTCTTTCTTATCATTCTATCGTGAAAAGCACCAGACATGAATTCAAACAAAAAGGAAATTTCAGTACTGAAAACGCATCCAAATTCTATGAAAAAGCTGTTGAAAATGACGGGAAGCTCAAATTATTCGGTTAGTAAGTCAAGATCTTGCTCTAAAACTGTTCTAAACCGCAATAAGTCAAATTTCGCTTATTCTAGCTAGATTCTATGGCTTTGATTCGATAGAGCACAGCAAGCTCTACAAGGTAGTGCTTTGAAAAGTTGCATCAAATTTGATCTACGCGAAGTTGTAGCCAATAGCTAGAAAAATCTAACTGTCCGAAAAATGTGAAAAAAGTAGAAACTCCGTCAAAAAAATTGCAGTCGTGCAACTTGCTCAATGAATATTTCTTCACATGAGACGTACATATATACACTTTCTCTGGCTGAAAATCGAGAAGAGGGAAGTATCTTTGCTTCTGACAAAGCGATGCCCACACATAGACTTCACAACTTCTCATCTGTCACCTTCCATCTGTTTTACTCATCCATTCAACAGAAGGGACTATTCTCCGACCCTGCACAACTCGGAATAAGATTAGCTAGTGGGCGGAGCAAGTGGGCGGAACCATCTAAAAGGTGCGAAGACCCGTTGGAGGTGCTAAGTACCCCTGCAAGGGAAGGCGGCGAGGCTTTGGGAACTCCTGGGCCGCCGCCGAGGTGACGCGCTGGTTTCATATATATTGGTGTTAAACGAGCTAAATAAGGAAAAGTAGGTCAATCAAATTGAGTAGGGCATTAATAAAAGTTGAAAATATGCCACATCTGCTGATGTAGAAGGGAACATTACCTAGAAGCATGTACTATTTTAATATCTACAAAGTTCACTTCTTCAGGTATTTTGATAAAATAAAAATTAATGAAAAAAAAATCGAAATTCTTAACACAATGCAAATAATAAAAGTTCACAATTGAAAGAACCACCTCTGATAATCCTTCAACAAAACCGCATTTCGGATTCTGAAGTGTTCATAGAAAAGTGAATTTGATTTCTAAGAATTCTTCATTGGACAAGGATCCTTAATACAGCGTCAACAAATATTTGTTGTACTCTGATTTTAAAATTTGTGACAGAAAAAACTGATTAATTTCCTATTCATTCATATTTGTAACTGCTTGTGGATTTTTGGAAATTTTTCGGTGTAGTTTTGTATTCGACTGTATCGTTCTCAATGCAATATGGCTTTTCTCTGCTGTTCAAAATGATATAAATTTTGAGGATATTACGCTATCATCGACTCACTCAACTTGATTGACCTATTAGGTTGTCCGGAAATTGATGTGTATAAAATAATCATTCTGACACAGTTTTCTTAACGTTATATCCATGACATTTTCCTGTAATTGTTCTCGTTCATTTTTCGACGTAAAATAGACAAATCCCTAGAAATTCGAGAATTCCTATTTTTTTTCAGCTTCTGCCTTCATTGAGGTTTTGAAGTGATTTGATTTTGTGATCATTTTCCTTTAAGAAACCTCTCCCCTGTTTACCTTTGTTTATTTGCATGTTTCTCAAAACGTGAATTTTCTGCTGTTTCAAATAATATAGGTATCGAGGATATCACGCTTTCCTGAGGCTGATTTCGCATCTCAGAGCGATGAGGTGCGAGAAAACCTCTCGGCAAGATTTTAGACAACGAGCGTAATTACTGTACCATCTGCAGTGGCTTTGCCGCCAGCTCTGGCGACTGGCTGCGGCAGCAGTCGGCTGCCCGGGTACCACTTGCACGCCTCCCCTTCAGGAAGCACGCGTGCGATTGATCCTTATGATAACGGAGTAATCGCAAAAGAAGATCGGTATGTAACGTCGAGCTACGTGTGACTAAGATATAAGCACTACGCGCGCAGTATTCCACGCTTGCTCCAATATGCCGATTTGCCGCATATCCGCTGCGCTTTGGCAGTTCCTGCGTTAAGGCGGGTTCGAGCGGATTTGGACGTATTCGGGATCGGCCATACTATTCCTGCTATTCCTGCGATTCCTGTGATTCCTGTGATTCCCGCACAGTTTATACGCTGCTTAAATGAGCGCATGTTGCGTAAAACAACACGTAACACGCAACACGCGCTCATTTAAGCGGCGTATAAACTGTGCGGGAATCACAGGAATCACAGGAATCGCAGGAATCGTAGGAATACCAGGAACAGTATGGCCGGTCTCTTAGGGCGAGTTTGGACGGAATCCGGCGCGGTCTGAAAGATCCCTTAAGTATGGGGGCACCAGATATAAGATTTCCTCGTTTGAATGATTCTGCCAAAGTGATTGCAGCCGCTAATTTCGATGTGTACGTAACCGCACGGCGTCTCTTGCACATGACGTCTCTTTCGCAAACATCGTTTCGGAATTCGCGCTTTGAAGCGAAGTTCCAACATCATTTTCCGATAAGGAATAGCAGCATTTGATAAATCTTGGGTTTTCTTCTTGTTAATTGTACATATATTGTTGTTTCACTGTTTGTTGAGAACATCGATGGAGTGTTTAGATCATGTCAGAAGAAGAAACTAAGGCGAGTGGAGGACATCGTAGCTTACGAAGAGGAAGTTTTACGGGACGTCAGAATAAATGTGTGCAGTTTAGAAACGGTGAAGGTGATATTGTTATCTTGAACATTTCAGTTGGTGGGCGACGACGTTTTGGGCATGAATTCGTCTACCCAACTGGCGGCTCGAAAGAGGATCCTTTGAATCTCAATGCCGTAATATCCGGTAGCGAGACAAAATCTGCAGAACTTGAGAAGGATGGTTCTAGATTACTGGAGGTAGTATTTTCGTCAGTGTAAAACGTGTTTTTTTATCGGCATTTTGAAGAGTCGCTACTTAGTCGCCATTTCCAGGTTCCCGTGCCAAAAAATCTGAAAGACCCGCTCAATTTAAATAGCGTAGAAAAGCAGAGACGAAAGTAAGCTCTCTTTTTGCTAAAGGTTTGAACTAATTGTGCATTTTAGGAGAAAACAAGCCGAGGACGTGGCTGTCGCGGAAGATGAAATTGTTTCTCCTGTCACTCGTAAGCAGGTAAACAGTTTTCATGCGGATGTTTCAACCTCTGATTCAACTGGATTGGCGAGTGAAAGGCGGGGCTTTGTGACCTAATTAAGGGCTGCGCCCGCGACGCAGTCTGCTCTCTCTCACGCGTGTGCTCTCCGATCATTATCTAGCCTTAATTAGTTCACGAAGCCCCGCTTTATATTTTTTGGCATAGCCCTAATTTGTACGAGTGCAAGACGCACCTTTTTCATTTTTTCGAACAAGCAGCTCGGCCACACCACTGAGCCTGCCGATATATGCTCTTCCACGCAATGCTTTCAAGTGAGGAGCAGCACGGTGATGAGTCTTACGGCTGTGAAATTTTTTGTAGTGTTCAGGCTGGCCAAGTTCTAAAAAATCGGGTGCGTCTTGTACTCGTGAAATTAGGGAATCGATTTCACATCTTGGCAGATTTTACGCTTGTTCAGAGTGAAAGATAGATGAATTCTCCGCTTCCAGTCATTGTTACTCCATGACTAATGCGCTGTCTTTAAGCATTTGAAGAATTTTAGAAAAAGCGACATCATGGCAGTCCAAAGAGGGATCCTAAAGGAACACTAGCCAGCGCAAATGATCCCGCAGCGGGTGATGGGACAATAGCCAGTGGTAGTAAACCTACACCCGCAGAGCTACGGCGAATCCGTCAGGAGCATTTCAACAATAGGTTTGTAGCTGTGATCTTTCTTAGCTTGTCTTCCACATTCTTTTTTATTGCCAATATTTAATCAAGATACTGCTATGGAAATTTCGACCGGTATTATGGTACTCGCTTGGAACCTAATCAAAAGGATTCGCGCTTGACGGTTTTGAAAAAGGAGTGGTTCGAGAAGAAAAGTATACTGGACATTGGTATGCTATCTTCATTATTATCACTCTTTTCTTCTTAGTTTCTTTTCTCTAAAGGTTTATCAAGTGAAGGTTTTAAAGGCTCTAAGAGCAGTCTACATTTCTGGCCTAAGCGTTGTGTTCCCTTTCAGACGCTTTTGTGGTGTTGTTAGGTCATACCAAGCTCAAATTCTCAATACCCAAGATAGAACTAGGTTATTCCATGTTTTTGCGGATTAAATGGTGTGCTAAGTATATGCGTATAGGCACATCCCCTTTAAATCTGAATCTATGGCTGTTACATCCACTGTTTTAAATCAATGTAATACTGTGAAGCTGCGAACTCGGAGTTATAGAGCGGTATCAGAGCTGAGTTGTCCCAGTTTGTTTTCAATAGAAGCTATTTACGTTGACCCAAATTATCATTTGTGAGATTTGAAGCTGTGAATAGCTATGAAAACTTATAGCCTACAAATTCTGCACATTTATTGTGTAAAAATTTCGGTGCAAGGTGTTGTTTACAATGTTGCCATTATTACCTTTCTTGACCATACTATGCGCACTGCAAGCTTCATTGAAACATGGTTAAGGATAGCACGGCTCCACTTTTTTCAGCACTTCACGTTGATTCTAGTTGCTATGCTGATGAGCAGTCGGTGCTATTACCAATTTTTACAGGATGCAATGTGGGCTTTCTAACACTCTCGATCGCAAAAGATTTTGGTCCACGTCGTATCCTTGGAATAGACATTGATGAGCACTTGATCGGCGTGGCGCGTAAGAATATACGCCATTATTGTGATCAGGATATAGAGGTAATCGGCATTACTTAATCTACTTTTTTTTCTACATTCTGTATCTCTTTAATTGTACTTCAGTTCATTGGAAAGTTTCCTGCATCATTCTGCACCAATTTTGGTCCTATCGCAAACCACAGTCTATCGTTCTCAACGAAATTTCCTGATAATGTGTGGTTTCGCAAGGAAAACTACGTTCTTGAAAATGACGAGCTGTTAGAGACCGTACGTTGACTTTACGGAACGTACAATGTTTTGGAGATTAATTAGATTGTTTCAGGTTCAAGAAGAGTTCGATGTTATTCTTGCCCTGAGTATCACAAAATGGATTCATCTTAATTTTGGTGACGATGGTTTACGACGTTTCTTTCGCCGCGCTTACAACCAGCTTCTTCCAGGAGGAAGATTCATTGTAGAACCCCAGCCATTTGCTAGCTACAGAAAGAGGTCAAAAATGACGGTAAGTTATTGGTAGTTGCGACTATTCTGTATTGATGCATCGCTCTTCTGTTGATTAGAAGAAGATCTTTGTATGATAACATTTGCAGCCATGAACAAATGTGGCCAGTGATTAAAAAATATGTAAAGGTTTTTTTCCATGCAGTTTTCCTTTGGATGATCATATTGAAATTGTAAGGCTGTAAATCAAGCAAAGGCACAGCAGAATAGCACCATGAATGACTATGCTCCATCATTTTTAGGAGCGATTGAAAGCTAATTATGCTGCTATCGAATTCAAGCCGGAGGACTTTGAAATGTATTTGATTGAGACCGTCGGTTTTGAAAGCGTGGAACATCTTGGTGCTCCTTGTGCAAAAAGCAAAGGCAAGAATTTTTTCCTGTCATTCGCATTCAGTCTGGTGTAAACTCAGGTCTTTAGGTTTCGAACGTCCAATCGACGTCTACTTGAAGAAGCCTCCGAGATTTCTAGAGTAAACACACAAGACGGATGTACTAGATCCTGCAATCTTTAATGTACCTCATGCTCAGTAATCTCTGCACCAATTTTCTACAGCGCTCGTCATCGATAAGGATGGGTTATTGTCAACAATCTTCAAACCCTATCAGAACATTGATAGTTTTTTACGATGTTGTGTCCTGCTTTTTTGAATATGGCCGGTGTGAGCTTCACTGGTGATATTGTTGTTGTTTTGTGATTTTTTCTTGAATGTTTACAACCTTCCTATATAAATATTATATATAGCAGACTTATAGCCTCATGTAACTGTGTTTTTATCAATGATATATTGAGTGTTTCAACCAGTGACCTTGATGTATAGGCTGTTTCAATGAAAGTATCACCGCTCACGGGTTCGCCGTCGCGGATTTGCGAACGCGCCTTGCTTACTGCGCCGCGTTCGCAAATCATCTGGGGCACATTTCACCTTACTTGTTGCTCGTAGATGGGAAAATGCGCGGAGGTTTGGCCCGGCGCCAGCCTCGAGCATGATGGCAGCGAAACTCCGAGCTACTGGGTTGTGGAACTCTCATTGATGTGCACAGCTAGCTACCCAGATATTTCTTTTGTAGTGAGAAATGATTTGGATCATTCGCTTAAATCAAATCTGCAAGGCAATTATAGTCGTGCTTCAGTGGCCGTATCCTTCAAGTTACTGAGTTCGTTCGTTATACCACTTGTGATGTGGCTTTTTGCGTGTTCCGAAACCCAATTGGGTATCGTCAAGCTATTGGTTCCACAGTCCACTAGTCCTACACGATGGGTTCGTTGAGGAATACAGCCACTTCCAGAAGCCTGAAGATTTCGTAGTCTCCTTGGAAAAGTGTGATTTCCTTTTATAAATCCGTTGCTATGTCCCTTTCGCCTTTGGAGCCCAAAAGCTGCACAGGAGTTGATAAAAAGGCCCTGTTATTTTTTATTCATGATTTCCATTCTCGTTATGGTGGTTTTTTCTCATTTCTATCTCAGAACAGATGACTCAGCCTAGTTTGTGAAATATGTGTGGGTATATTGGTTTGCAGGGGCAGAGAGCCGCTGGCAGACCATGTTCAGAATGCGATAGCTTTTCATTACCGGAGCTGTTGCCATCATTTTCTATCAATACGAGCAGCACGTACAGGTCACGACCAAGCAAATGTGGATATAAATGAGGAGGTTTATAAAGGCCATTTGCATTTTCCATGATTTTTCTTTTTTGTATCCATAGTGAAATGAAAACTGACTGCAATCCC